AACAACAATAACAACCAGCAACATGACATTGATAACGTACGCGAGCTAACGTAATAATAATTCTTACTGATATACGCGCGTCAGTAATATAGTTTTACGTTAATCGACACTATGCTAATCCCCGGTATAACGGTGTAACCGCGAAATCCTACGTACGAGTCGCGCTCGAAATCGCCGCGTTTCCTTTTTCCCGCGAACGTACCTCGTGAACCGCATCTCCGTGGGTTACGTCGCGTATTCGGTATATGTCGTCGTCATATGCTCGTCAACAGTTCGTCATCGTCGTCGTCGTCGTGGTCGTGGTCGTTCCACCGCGCGTTGATTCACGACGTGAACGAGAATCTTCGCTCTTCTCGCGAAAGAAAGGGAGAGAGAGAGAGAGAGGGAGGGAGAGAGAGAGGGAGGGAGAGAGAGAGAGAGAGAGAGAGAGAAAAAGAGCGTCCTTTTTACACTCCTCGCCGCGCCTCGCGTGATCGAGAGTGATCTTCCGTGTGTGCACAGCGAGCTGAATAATGTAATCAACGTGTGCCGTACACGCTAAATAGAAACTACTCAAAGTGTGCCGATACTCCGTATAATCCCAGACCAGTCCATTTTTTATGAACGTAAGTCACCTAAGCGAACCTTAGCATTTTACCGTATCTCTCGCATCGATTGTATATCGAGTAACAGGAGAAAGATTGAGGAAAGGCAAAGAGAAAGCGGAAACCGAGAGAGAGAGAGAGAGAGAGAGAGAGAGAGAGAGAGAGAGAGAGAGAGAGAGAGAGAGAGAGAGAGAGAGAGAGAGAGGGGGGGAAGAGAACAGGAAAACAAGAATAGAAACATACGTATTATACGAAAGACTATTGAAAAACATTTTCGACGTGACGATCATCGGTTTCGATGACGGGCGGGAGTTATGTATGAACAATTGTAACGCAAGATAATGTAATTAATGTAAGTAGTAACTATATATTTACATATATTGTTAACCGATCTAGAGACCATAACGCACGGATTGTCAATGTGGTGTCTACGATGTGAATGAGAATACATTTTTTAATAATAATAAAAAAAGAGAAAAAAAATGAAAAGGGAAAATGTCTCCTGTCTTGATCCTTGCGATCCTGCGACACATGGTCATACGTGGTGTATAATTTCGTTTGCAACTTTTATCATCTGCTTACAACAGGAGAAACATCAATTCGCAAGGAGAAATAAGTAGATTCGCCGAGGCCATTGGCGATGGAAAGAAAGGGGGAACGAGGGAGGGGAAGATTTTTGAAAACGCCTTTTATTGTATAAAACTCTGGAATTTCGCAAAAATACAAAGAAATATGTATATGGTTATGTAATTAAATCACGGACTCTCCGCTGTCTCTTCCACTCTTTCTCCCTCTCTCTCTCTCTCTCTCTCTCTCTCTCTCCCGGGGCAACGAGAAAATGTCGAATTTTAAAAATTTATGATCGGAAGATTACATAAGTCGCGACGTGGCCAATTGTGTGCTCATAAGAGATAGACGGACGCGCCACTCGACGCGGCGCGTCCTCGCGATGCAGCGCTCGAGATTTCGACGCTGGCGTTACCAAAATAGCGCACTTTATTTTTTTTTTACACTTTTACACATACACGGTCTCGTATCCTTAAGTAACAACGTATAAAAAGGAACTCTATTATATACAGTGCGTGTATCTACATTACTCGAAATTTGCAGCGGTATTGCGGACCGAACACCAACTCGCGCTCTTGTTTTGCCGAGCGGTTACAATTCCGAAAAAAAAAAAAAAAAAAAAGACAATCAACTGCACACCGCGCATCGCTGAACGTATATTAGCTCGCGTTTATGTTCGTTGTGGCGTTTGTGATAACTCGCGAAGGAGACGAATGTCGAATGCAGCGTCTGACACCGGGAATCAATTTACATTAACTCAGGTTTTGGAAACTGTCCCTGCAGACCATCTCGTGACTTTTTTTTTTTCGTAAAATAAAAATACCGATGGCGGCGCATATAACTCTGGACATTCTTATTGCCTCGGCCTTTAAGATATTTAAATTTTCTGCGTAGAATATATATATATTGCGTATTTTATTTAATACATATTTATTCTGTTTAATATATATACATATTGAATATATACATATATTCTTTGAAAATTTAAACATTCGTATCTAAAGGCTAAACTAAGAAGAACGTCCAGAGTTATCCTGGGATTGATATTTTTACCTTAATACCTTAAATATATAAAAAAAAATGAATTTAGTTTGACAACGTGAACATAGAAGCAAAAATTTCGCTCTCATCTGGTGAGAGATGAATACGTCATACACTTGACGTTGAATACATGAACTCTTAGAGGCTGCCACGGGTGAAATTTCACCCCATGCGAATTTTGTTGTGATCTTATTAAAAAGCGATTTACTTTATTTAAAAAATACTTTTCGTCCCATTTTTCATAATAATAAAATACTTAACTGCGTTTATTTGACTTTTTTGATTTCTAAAATAAAAAATATATTGAGGCGAAATTTCACCCATTAACGTGACTTTTTCTCCCGTGACAGCTTTCAAGGTTTTAGCTTTAATAGCGATTTTTATTCGTGCCCACAGTGCTCGTTGATCAACCGTTATTTAGGCGTGGACGTTTGTTCCTTTATTCGTCGCAATGAGTCTGTTCTGTAACTTTTGATGACACTGTCGTTATCTCGTCACCTTGTCCTTACGCATCTCTTTCATCTCATTTATCATACTCGCAAAAAAAAAAAAAAAAAAAAAAAAATAAATAAAAAACTCAAAAGTTACGGAACAGGTTCACAGTTGTACTTTTAAGTGACATTGCGCTTCATCGCGGAGCAGTGTGTTTGCGATCCTTCATTGTTAAGAAGGCCCGGTGACATGTCGCTTCTCCTTGCGTCTCTGCCGAGATGCGCGATTCGAGTGTATTATTTCTCTTTTATATCTTCTGACGTTATCTTCGGATTTAATATACGACTAAATTACATGTGTCGCTATGAGAGATTAGTAAAAAATATCATGTGAAGTATAGTTACCCGATTAATCATTCGCGCGTAATGTACGGATATATATAAACATCGCGTTTTGCGTTTGATACTGGAGCACGATATTGCGTCATAGTTAATCGGCGGAAATCGCTCCACGAGTGAAATAATGCGAATCAGTGCCGTCGGATATCATACTCGCGCAATGGCAGTGTGTGTTAAAATCCAAGAAAAAAAAAAAGAGACACAGACCTACAAACCAAAGCGACTTATAAGAGAGTGAAGTTGCTCATCGGAAGGTCCCTTCTTCTGAATGCCAGACACAAAGAAGCCGTCACAAAGCAATTCTGTTTCGTCAAACTGCGATATAATTTCGCGAATAAAGACGAAAGGCGTGGTATAATCCGAAGTGCGACAGATCTACGACAGATATACGAGACATCCGACGCCACGACAGTGCCGGAGGATTCGAGAAAGATGTAAGTATTGGGTTGGCAACTAAGTGATTACGGATTTTGTCGACAGATGGATTTTACACTTTCTTTTGTTTCGTTAACGTGTTCAAAGTACCTAACCTATATTTTTTTCTTATTGTTTGAACTTCTACCTTTCATTTAGTACAAAAATTATATCGATTAGTTCTTTAGTTTTGTTTTTATCCCAATTTAAAAATGGAAGAGCAAGACGTGCACTTCAGACATATTTTATTGTATTATTTCCGAAAAGGCAAGAACGCATCGCAAGCACACAAGAAGTTATGTGCCGTATATGGGAATGAAGCCTTGAAAGAAAGGCAGTGTCAAAATTGGTTTGCCAGATTTCGTTCTGGTGATTTTTCATTGAAAAATGCTCAACGATCTGGCCGTCCAGTTGAAGTCGATGAGACCCATATCAAGCCCATTATCGATTCAGATCGTCATAGCACAACACGTGATATTGCAGAGAAGCTCAATGTATCGCATACATACATTGAAAAAAATTTAAAAAAGCAAATTTAAAATTTTAATATTTTAATAAAAAATTTAAAATTTTGAATTTTCACTCTTATTTAAAATCCGCAATCATTTGGTTGCCAACCCAATATTTTCATCAGCAGTATACCTATCAGATAAGACTAAAGTTTGAATGTAGATGTGTAGCGAAATTCACAAATATTTTAACGACGAGTCGCTTAAACCTTTGCTAGTCTCTTCAGCATCTGTGTGTTATTTTAGTACAGGATAAACTGACTGAAATTTAGCAAAGCAGATTCGGGTATTCTTAGCAGACCGTTCATGAGTGACAAAGAAAACAAGAATCGTTCATTCTCAATATAATTCGATGGAAAATTGCAAAGCTTTAAAGAGACGTATGTTGAAAATTTCACACGGCCTCCAGTGTAGTTTTAAAGGTGATACTTCCTCAGAACTTTATCCTATATATTAAAATCAAAGGACCTCTGCCCCTTCCCCAAGATGTGTAATACTTTCTATATAACCACTAGAGTAATATTTACATCGGTACTGTCACTTCGGCTCTTGTCGTAAACAATTACCGCACAAGCGCGCAAGAGTCGCTCGCAAATGTGATCATTTGAGATGCGCTCCTAACATCGGAAAAAAAATATAAGCAAACCATTGTGCAAACAAATGTACGGACGACCTAGTGATTAATCAAAAAAGAAAACAAAATTAATATAACTCGGTCGTCTGACGCATTGAGATAAACATATTAGTGATTTCTCTCTCTCTCTCTCTCTCTCTCTCTCTCTCTCTCTCTCTCTCTCTCTCTCTCTCTCTCTCTCTCTCTCTCTCTCTCTCTCTCTTGCGCGCCCGCACAATATACGTCTTTGATTACGTTTCAATCTCCATCTTTTCCTCGTAAATTATATTAATTTGACGAACATCTTAAAGAATATCAGCTGATTCGCGTCATCGATGAACGGTAAAACGCAACAATACGTTATATATATATATATATATATATATATATATATATATATATATATATATATATATATATATATATATATAGTTTTGCGTAAACGATGTTAAAATAAATAATAAATTTCTAAAATATAACTCTCTATTTCTGCGCGTACGAGGTTATGTATAAACTCTATATATACATATACTTAGCGGGGATACAAACATTATAAACAAAAAGCGCGTAGACTACTACATGGTGTTCCTCTGACAGGTAGAGCGCGACTTTCAAGAGTCGCTTTCGGCGAAACGGGACGAGAAATAAATACGTATCGCATTTATATCGTGTAGTTATGGTTCGGTTCCTGTTATTGTGAATGTGCGCGTGCCGTTACGCGGCTGTCCTTACGGTTTATGGTAAATGCGTCGACAATAACAGTACGTCTATTGAAGACAGACAAAAATAGCAAGAACCTTCTTTCTCTTGATCCGTAAAATTACTCTCACTGTCTGTCTTCGTCAGTCTTATCCTCATTATCGTACGTAATTACCGCGACGTGACGCGAAGCGAAGCGAGAGAGCGCTTTTCGGTCATGTCGCTCGTTGAATCGCGAATAAAAAAACGGGGAAGTCTCGAATTTCGTTTTCTCCGATCCCGGAGTGGTGAGATTGCGTCGAAACGGACACTCGAAGCTTGTTCTTTTCAGCCACACTGGGAAGGAACTTCGTTCCTTTCTCCCTCCGATGCTGCGCTATACAGGGTGTCCCGTTATTTGCACGTTAATCTCCATGAAAATTTTTGAGGAAGGCCTATGACATTTTTTTCAATGTTCAACATAACACATGTTTAAAATTCGGATGAAGATTTCGCTGAAACAAAGTCCACTTGAGAGACGGATCGAAGAAAATAACTTTATTATCCACTTAGTCGCGAGAAACTCCGCTCTTCTCGACGGCTCTCGTATCTCGAAGACTACCGTATGCCTCGACATTGTTGCCGACGAGAAAGTTTCGATATTTTCCTAAGAAAATAGCGTTACGTAAATCACCGGACACCCCGTATACCTGTTTCACTTCAGAAGCGAAATATGCCAGTTGGTCCAGCCCAAAAGAACAGGATCCCAAAAGAACAGGATCAAGTCACTTTGATTATCACGTACACGGCGAACATCGTCGATCGATCGAGCGATCTGGACCGCCCGATCGAAATGGGCGAGACGACGAACGCGTTACACCTGGACGTACTGTTCGTCGTCGGTATCGCCGTTGCTCACTCGTTCCACGGAATTTCCCACATCGATTTTCTCATAATCCGTCTCCGTCTCCGCCGTCTTCTTGTTCTTCACCTTCTCGTAGCCGTCGGCGTTCGCGTCCGATAGGAAATTGTTCACTTGCTCGTACGGCGGTTCCTCGCTCTGCGTCACGCTCATGTACTTGACGCTCTCGTAATTTGGGTCACCGTGGCAGACGGACTCGTAATTGGGGTCCGTGTCGCTGTCGCCGGGTCGACAGACGGACGCGTAGTTCGGCTCTCCGGTGTCGTGCGGCATGCTCTCATAATTAGGCTCAGAATCCGTGTCCTGGTCCAGCTCGACGCGTCTTCGCAGCCTCACCTTCTCGTAGCCGGGGTCCTCGCTGCTGGCGTTGCTCACTTGCCTGTGCTTGAACGGCACGGAGTACGTATCTGTGCTGTCTCTGACGACGGACAACAACGCGCCGCTGCCGCCGCCGCCGCCGGTTGCCGGATAGTCGTTCTCCCGCGAGCACTGCGGACGCAGCATCTCGTAATTCGGATCGGGGTTGGAGCTTGACGACGTCACGCCTCTCGCCAAGGAACTTCTCTTGCCGTTGTTGGAGTTGTTGACGGCCTCGTAGCCGTGGTCGATCTCCAAGTGCGACAGAACGGTGTTGTCTGCCGCGTCGGCTTTAGGCAATCTCGATGGATTGCCATCGCCCTCGGCGTGGAAGTTTGTCGCGGCGCTGACTGCGACGGCCGGGTAGTGCGCAGGATCCGGCTCCTTCTTTTGGATCTCCACGGATTCGTGGCTGCACCACGACGCCCGGCTGATCTCTATCAGGCTCAGTTTCCTGCAAGTGGTCGATTCGGGATACAGAACGTTATTGGCGGCTGGGTGAATATCGTTCTGCTGCTGCTCCTCCACCTCCCTCTTCTTCTTCATCACTTTCGCGTACATGTCCTCGAGGGACTTGCCCACCGACAGGGAGGACCTCGATCGGTCGTCGGCTTTGCCCTTCTTGTCGACGGACGCGTACATCTCCGAGCTCGCTTCAGGCGGCGGCGGTAGTGGAGAGTTTGCTTGACGTTTCTCGGGTTTGGGTGATCCAGGGTTGATGATGGAACTGTTGGCACTGGACGATGACGCTGAAGTGGAAAGAAGGGTGGCCGATAACGTGGTGATGATCAGCAATGAGCTTCGTATGGTGATTTGTTGCAACTTGTCTGAGAATTCGTTGCTACAATTGTGGTCATTCGTTACCTTGTCTAGAGTGGGCGTGGGCGACATGACGCAAGCTATCGACGCTCGGCGGTTGTGGAGCAGCGTGTGTTTCTTCCGTGCGAGAAGGGGGCTGACAAAACACCGTCTGCTCATGCTGCGCTACTCTTTGTACCTCCAACATCATCGGTTGAATTTGCGCGTACGTCTCGCTGCCGCTGGTGTATACTTTGTCCTGCTCATCAATAGCGGCGTACATTTCATCTGTGAAATGTACAATTTGGGGATCAATGTCGGGTCGCGTTAAACGACTCTTCTCGCGAGCCTAAAGCAGACCCTTTAGATATTCGGATCTACAAGTTTAAATCATAAAAAGATTCGTCTTCGTAGACAAATTTTATATAGAGGGTGACCTATTTTCAATACGTACCTAAGATATTTTTGAGTAAGTATATTATTAAAAAAAAAAAGATTTTAGACAAAAGTTTGAACAAGATCCGACTAAAATTAATGTTTCATTGTTCTTTTACAACCGGATAACTTTTGCCCAAAATATTTTTCGTAAAACACATTTGTTCTGAAATGTTGAAGATGAGCATTTAAAATTAAAAAAAAAAAAAAAAAAAAAAGAAATAAATAAAGGAATAATTTACTAACAAAATTATATGAAATAATTATTATTCAAATATATAAACGAGCACAATCGTTTCAGGTCGTTAAATTGCAGTTAAAAAAAAATATTGATTTATTGATGGTCAAATCCGCGAGAGGTTACTGTGTGTCTGTCTGGCTGGCAGATTCCATCACGAATTTAAACCCGAATTCGGATCCGATGCGTCAGTCATTCCCCGAATAACCAAAGAATAAAGCGTCACAGTTATCCGCTGTCTGAATAATCGAGTACTCAGATAGTGTCAGACCGCAGACTTCTATATACTGATTAGATTAATGACTCTCACATACCATATCTCAAGTGGGAGGGATATGAGAAGATATCGTATCATTTTGAATTTATTCGTGCACTTACAAATCACGTCGACAGTCACTGTAAGATCAATATTAATTTATGTAATGCATAATATAATTAAAAACTTAAAGATATCGTCAGACAAACAATATAGCATAATCAAAAGTCCATTCAATATATAGAAGTTTGTGTCAGAAATCCGAACGAATATTTCGGAGACCTACTCCAAAGCTTGTAAGCATAATAAAGCATTGCATAGCTTACCCGAATCGTCAGAGACAGTAGCATAATGAGGATCGATGATTGGCCGAGTCGATTGGTTTTGTCTATATGCTGCTTTGGTCTGTGCGATTATATTAGCTAATGGTTCCCTCACGCTTATGCTTGTGTATCCTTCTGCATTAAACAGACGCAAAAATTAGAACACACGATGAGTTTCAATACGTAACGAAATTACTGTTCACGCGTGAAATGACAGGTAGTGAGGAAAATTCGCGCGAAGAATGAGGTAATTACTCGAATCTTGGGAGTCACCGCTGAAGTGCTGCTGCGGGCTATTGTGCTGGGGCTGTGGTGGGTGCGGCAGCAGCATTAAGAGAGGCGGCGTCATGTAGGGCAAGTCTTGATTAGCCTGCACACCACCAGAGATAGCGTTGGCGGCCTGGATGTCGCAATGAGAGTCCGAGCTGAGGAGCGAATTGTGCGAGGACGATCTGCGGGTACGCGGCGGCGCTACCGGATTTCCGCTCGGCTGACCCATGGATGACGTCGACGGCTTTTCGATGTTCGCGGCTTGATTAACATTATTCCTGCGGCATACGAGAAGTGAAATGGCGCATACGTTCGCTCTGATAATGAAAAGAGAAAGTGTGAAAGGAACGCAGCAGGCGCTCGTACCTATTTACTTGACTAGCCTCAGTCTTCTGAACACTTTGAAGTTGCGCGTAAGGATGTTCAACTGAAACGGAGAGATATCAATAGTGTGTAATTACTCGGCAAATGTGATGAATGGCTTGATAAAAACACACCATTGTCAGAAATGGGAGACGCGAATCTGGCGTATTGATGAGAGGTGTCTTGTGTCACAGAACTTGGCTGGGAAGCTTCCTGCGTCTCCCTCTCGGATATCTGTTCTTGTCCTGCAAAAGATCATAGCGAATGAAATATGTAATTCACGATACAAGAGTCGTCGCTCCAATCTTATTATTTACTTCGATATTATCTATTCACATTATTCAGTAATATCATATACCTGTGTCTTGGACTGTGGCATATAATTCTGAATGGTCCCCCATGGTCTCGGTGGTCTCGTAAATATCCTGAGGTACCGACTCGGCTATATCTTCATGCTCTCTGCTCTTGTCTTTTGGAATATCCGGAAGACTTCTGTTGGCACTTGTAGTCCTACATAAATGAAACATCTCATTTAATTAAAGTATATTTTGCGTCTTATGTTAGAATGGATTAGTAGATTGAGCAAAATTAGTATACATTTTCATGTATTACATAATATTATAGGATTTTATTAGTCTTCCATCCAATGAAACGGTAGATCATTAGACAGACATTGGTGCTTTTTGTTTAATGGGATTAATATTTTTTTTAATCTTTATCAATAATGTATAATATGACATGGTGCATTGGGAATAATATAAGCTACCAAAATGAAGAAATATGGGCAAATGTGCAGAGGATTGTAGCGATGGTTAATCTCAATATATGAACAGATTTTAGATATTATTTATCATGCTGTGATAAGATTAATGCAATACCTTGTAAATTGTTAGTAGCAGTCTTTAATCTGTTTCCTTATCGTTAATAACACAAATCACTTGAAAGAGAGATTACAAGGCAAAAGTGATCAGACCATGAAACTAGATGAGTCTCATGAAACTAGATGAGGGAAACAACTAATCATCAATCTTCTACGATTCTGTGGCTGCTCACTTCTGGCTTAGGACCTTTCTTTCAACAGAGACAAGCACATACAAATTGTGTGATGTTTGAATAGCATTAAATAGTGGCAAATTATTCAAAATGTTAAAAGAAAAAGCAATGGAAATTAAAAGATGTATTTGCTAGTAGAGATTGCTGCATGCGGCCAAGTCACTTTTGAGGTAGGAACCTTTTTCCACCATCGTTGACATCTTGCACAACAACTTGGGTTACATCTGCTGTTGGAATTCTGTTGAAACCATCTGTTTCGGAATTATTCAGTGTTACCATACCAGCGAGCCCCAGAAACTCATTCCTGTCATAATATGATCGCAGTTGTACAACAAATACGAAATATGCAGATATACACATCTGTAAAAACTGACAGTGTTACAATCTACAAAGGAAAAATGCACTATGTGAAGACAGAAAACTGATATATAGATTTGTGCTGAAGTAACAATAAAAATTCTGCGCTACACATTTGTGAGAATTCATGTCATCGTCTGGGGTGGACCACACAATCTTGGTGAGCACAAGTTAGAAAAAAAAAAGAAAGAAGGAAAATGTACTGTGACGAAAGTAAATCTTATGAACAACTATCTAACGTTGCAGCATCCTTCGTTATACCTGCTAACAACAATTACACGGCGCAATGAAAATCAATGACGATACAAATTATTACAAAATCCAATCGAAACAAGTCAAATCTGCCGCATCGAATCTGACGATTCGCGACAGAGAGGAGGGCTCGCGATGCACTTACTTATTTTCGTTACGTCGGCAGCTGCAGATGCAGGCGACAACAAAGCCGAGGAACGACAGCAGGGCGCCGATCGAGACTGCCCAGTAACACCAGGCGTCATTTTCGTCGAGGAAAGGGTTTATCATGTTACAGGCTTCCTGCTGGACGCGCTCTCTTGTCCTGAAACGCGACCGAAAACGCCGCTGTCAGACCATCGCACGCGCGACATAACCTCAATGCGTGCGTCATGCGACGCTGAACACACCCAAGAGCGTTATTACGCACACGCCTATCGTACGGCTCGCCTACGATAACGGCCTCCGCAAAGTCCGCACATACTTCCTTCGAATGGCCTTCGAAGCCTACCCCGCTTGGATTTTCATTCTCCGGTAATAGGAATTCATCGTCAATTTAGAAAGTCTCTTATATATTTCCCGTTGATAAATGAAGAAAAAAAAAAAATCTACCCGACCTGCTGTTCGGTCGCGTCGTCGAATAACCAGGAACTTCGTCTAACTCGTCGCGTTGAATCGTATTATTTGAAATTGAAAAATACATTCGACTGGTCACCCCGGTAGTCGTGTTATTTGAAAACAACAATATTTCTTCGATATATCATTGAATCGTGGATTAAAAGTAAAAATGTCTGTCGACTTACTCCATTGAGTCGTGCTACTTAGGAAGGTAAAAGTCCGCTCGGTCCGTTTGATTTATTTATCGTTGATTTCGTACCGCGACTTTGCATGCATTTTACTGCCCGCTCTCGTCGAGCACTTGCATTAGATTGGCGTGTGTATTTTAAAATTTAAAAGAATACTCCAATCAAACGCTGAAATACTCAGTGAGCGGCTGTAATATTGAATACACGCCTTGAATTTTCGCTCTGGACAGTGGCGCCTCGTAACGAAGACATCGGTACTAAAAAATCGTAAGACAATTCGACAAGATCCTTTCCATTTTTGAGTATTATGTTGTTGTTGCAAGTGGGATAAACTTCCATTTTTCCCCTCACGTGTGTGCGTAAGCGCTGTTAAGTATTATTATTAATCTTTTATTAGACATCAAATAGTTATTGAAAAAGCGAACGAATCAATCGGAATATCTACGACGTGTGTCCTCGCGATGCGTTACTTTTGAATCATCAGGAGCATCACGTTCACTTCATCTCGGAATTGAATCCAAGATTCGCGAGATCGTGGTCGATTCGTGATGAAATTTTTTATGGGATTTATTCTATCATATATATTACATCTATCGTATTATAAAATGTCTATTAAATAATACATATCGTTTGAATGAAATACACGTTTAAGCGTATATAAAATGTATTATACACGATATTATGATGACCTCGATTAACCCTACGCCAATATTAAGTACAAATCGAGTAATTTGCAATGAGAGTAGTGACTTATTCGACGTATATTCGATTTACATATTACGCAAGCACCGTTTCTTCTTAATTACATGTACATACGCACACTCTCTCTCTCTCTCTCTCTCTCTCTCTCTCTCTCTCTCTCTCTCTCTCTCTCTCTCTCTCTCTCTAATTAACTCACTCGCGCTGAGAAATCGATTATTACTGCCTTATCCAAGCACCTTGCAATATCTTTTTTTACACATTTACATACGCACGCTTTACGTCGGGATCGTCACGCACGTTGCAGCACCTGACGATTTTGTACGTTTATGTACAATACTGATTCGCTCGATTGTCTACCAGAATATACGCGGGAAAGAAACAATTCCCCGTTGGTGTAACTGAATTTTGTGTGTTACCTAGGAGGAATTTGGAATCAAGTGTCCTTGGACAGAAATAAACGAAATTAACGAAATTAACGACAGTCTTCAACGAGACGCAAAGTTAATACACTACTCTTAAATCCCAACAAATCCCGGGAAAACTGAAAAGAAACATACACATCGGTCCTTTCTTTTCTCAAGGTACGTACATATCAGGTCGATTCACACGATTTTTCTCATAGAATACACATTTCATTCGTCGGTATGTTTCAGGTTTGTCCAGTGGGAAAAACCTACGAGTCGCAATACACGCAGAATTTACTGAGATTCAGATGCATATTTTGCGCCATCGTCGGTCATCTCTCTCTCTCTCTCTCTCTTTCTCTCTCTCTCTCTCTCTCTCTCTCTCTCTCTCTCTCGACGATCTCGGCGATCTACCGACGTCCATTATCTGTCCAACTTGCTGTCGGACGGACAACCGACGTAGACCGGTAGCGGCGAATTGTCGTAATACCCGTAGATCTGCTGCGAAGATGGCGGCGGCGGCAGGCCCATGGTGTGCATCACGTGCATCGGCTGCATGTAGGGCATCATCTGCACCGGAGTGGCTGGCACCGAAGCATTGCCCCGTCCCAGGGTCGAGCCATTGTACGATCCCACGTAGAGGTCATGGTTAATCTTGCCCGAGTAAGCGCTGGCCGGCCTGATCATCGACGCCTCGTGAATGCTCGACGCCACCGCCGCCATCCGCGCCTCGTTGATCTGGCTACTCCACCTGAGTCGGCAGATGCAGATGACGATGACGATGATCGCGATGAACGCCACTACGCCGCCGACGATGCCGATGATCAGGGTGTCGTCGGTGCTCGACATATTGCCCATAGTTGAGGTACCTATTTCGCAAAATCGTCGCGAGGAAGTAGAGATTCGTCAATTATTTAATTACTCCTTAAATGCTTAGAGATGCTTAATTCCTACGCTCGTGATGAAAGTTTGCTGAAGTCTCTCACGCTTAAACGTACAGCAATTCAGAAGCGCTCAACACTCACCCGTGTGATCGTTACTGTAGTGTTTGTTCCGATTGTTCTGCACTGTCGGCGCCACGGTCCAGATGATCTCCGGCTCAGATGTGGTCAACCTCGTGGACGGCGTGGTTTCAGTCATCTGCGGCTTGGTGGGTGTCGTCCGTTCACACGAGAGATACTCCTCCGTGATGTTGCTCAACGTCATGCCGGCGAGATAATCAGGACTGGAGCAGACGACGATGGGTGCCCTGCTGGCCGACGACTTCAGCCAGCGCCACAGGTGTTTGGCTTCGCAGCTGCAGTTGATCGGATTGCTGTCGAGGCCGGCGATCCTCACGGAACCGCCGCGCTCATCCAGCGCTGCCAATAATTGCGCCGACAAGCTGCTGAACTTGCTGCCGGAGACGTCGAGCTCGACTTGCGTGGAGCGCGGCACCGGGAAGAACAAAGCGGTTGGTATCAAGTCCACGGATGTGTCCTTGAGACCCAGAAGCAGTCGCGGCCCGCGGACACCGACCAGCGAGCTCGAGAGCACGTTGCGCAACCTCTCTCCGCGTAACGTCAGCTCCCGCAGGTGCGGGTGAGTGCGTACAGACAGTTGCTCGTTGCCCACCGATGAGTCCTTGATTTCGATGTCCAATATTTCCAGACTGGCCAGACTCTTGAGGATACCCTGCACGTCGAAGTAGCCCAATTTGGGGTAGTTGTAAGCGTGCAAGGAGCGTAGTCTCGTCAACGACCTGAAGGCATTCCTCTCGATCCGTGTGCAGTTCGGCAGATTAGCCATTCGCAAGGCGCGCAACGCGCCTAGACCGTCGAAGCTGCTCTCGTTGACTGTCTTCATCTCGTTGTCGGACACGTCCAAGCTCCACAGCGCCGGTAAGATCTTGAAGGTGTTGATCAGATTCGTGAAATCCGCCAGACGATTTCGCGACACGTCCAAAGTCTCTAACATCGTGGTGCGTTCCAACGTAGTCGGTTTGATGTCCATGATAGCGTTGTTGGATAGATTCAAATGCTTCAAGAACGGCGTCTCCAGCCGCGGCATCATCCTGATGCCGGTGTCGGCGAGATTCAACGATCGCAGGATCTTCGCCTCGCCGAGGATGCCGCGGATCGCGTTCTCGCTGAGCGGATTCTCGGACAGGTCGAGCTCCTTCACGTTGTTGACGATGTCCTGCGTGAACACCTCCACCATTCGGTTGCGCGCCATCCGTAAACCGATCAGCGACGCCGACTGACGTTGTAGCGCGCGGGTTGGTATCTCGTTGAAGCGGTTGCCGGACAGGTCGATCTTCTCTACCGCGCGGATCCTGGACGGATCGAAGATGGTCTCGGGCAGCGCGGCGAGCCGATTGTCGCCCAGATCTAAGGACTCCAGCCGCAGCAGGCCCTCCATCGTGCGCTCGCTCAGCGTCTCGAGCACGTTGCCGGACAGATCCAGCGACTGCAGCTGCGTGGAGTTGTGGAAGGCCAACTCATCCACCGACTCGATCCGGTTGCCAGAGAGGTCGAGCACATGCAGACGCCCCATCTGCGAGAACGCGAACTCGTGCACGTGGCGCAATGCGTTGCGCGACAGGTCGAGTCGCTCGAGGAACTGCAGCGATTTGACGAAGTCGCTGGGGAACTGGACGAAGCGGTTGCCTGACAGATCCAATCGCCGGAGCCGCGGGTGAATGACGAAGGCTGTGGGCGACAATTGGCTGATGCGGTTGTCCGACAAATCGAGCAGTTCCAAGCCGGTGCCGGTGTTGAAATGCTCGCCGACGAAGGACGTAAGCTTGTTGCCTCGTAGATTCAGCGAGTAGAGGTTGATCAAGCCGACGAACGCGCCGTTGTCAATGCGCTCGATCGCGTTATACGACAGGTCGATCGCGGTGAGATTGTACAGGTGCTGGAACGTGCCCTCGTCGATCTCCTGCAGCTGATTGCCAGCGAGGGAGATCCTCTGCAAGGACTCGAGGTTCAGCAGCAACACGGTCGGCAGGATCCTCAGGTCCGTGCGGGAGATGTCGAGGTTGATCAAGGAGGACGGGAAGATCGGCGGGAAGCCGCCGTACAACGGATTGCTGCTAAGATTGAGATACTGCAGCCGGTGCAGGTACTTGAAGGTCTCCGGCGACACGCGCTTCAGCTGATTGCCCGCCAGGTTCAGCGACAGCAGATTCCGCAGGGGCAGTTCGGTGATGGTGGTCAGTCGGTTGTACGACACATCCAAGTTCAACAGGGTGTCCTCCAGACCGGCGAAAGTGTTCTGCGAGATCATGGACAGCATGTTGCCGGACAGCTCGATGCTGATGAGGTTCTCGAAGTTGTAGAACAGCCTCGACGGGATCTCGCGCACGAGGTTACGCGTCAGGCCCAGTGTCACGAGATTTGTGGACGTGGCGCGGATCAGTTCGGTGGACAGCGCGGCGATACGGTTGAATTGCACGTGCAAATGCGCCAGCGAAGGCAGTCGCGTGAGCGCCGCCGCTGGCACCAGGAGGATGTTGTTGTCTTGCAGCGACAGCCACTTCAGCTTCGTCAGGCCCTCGAAGGACGATTCTTCGATCTGCAATGCATCAACGTTGAGGGGCGCGACGATGTTACAAACAAGAGGTCGGTGTGTGCTTATCGTTTCTCACTTTTATTACGTGCTTGCAAAAATTCGTCAGATTTTTAAATATATTTAATATCTATTTAATGAACAGTAGAAAAATTATCCATATTATTTATTTTCATCGATTCACTGGTCCGAAATCAACGTTTTGTACGGACCCAATATGGCGGCTTCAAGTCGAATGCTGTCTTTCCCTTATATTTATAATTTAAACGGGAATGACAGAAGAGAGCACACACATCTCGGTACGACTCGGAATTGGCAAATTCAATGGGCTATATTTCTATTGTTTATCTTTGAGATATCTTTCGAATATGTAAGTGGATATACAGTGGATATACATTTATGTATGGATATTTATGTGGAGATGTATGTTTTATCACAGTACGTAACATTCCGAAGTTCCTTCTAATGTTGCGCTATAATTGACGAAGTCAAATTCGTGATGAAATTCTCACATAAAATATTTACAATAACGCACTGACTAAATATCCTGAAAATGTCCCAGAATCGTCCTGGTTACATCCAGGATCATCCTGAGGACGTCCTGCTGAGTCTGTCTGAGTCATTAGCGATCGCGTATCGCTGAAAATTCACCTCAACAGGCTCGTGCGAGACGCGATCGTTAAACCCGGACGTATCAAGGCTCAGCAGCGATCGGCTGATAAGTTTACACAAACGGATCATGCGTCACGAGATCGGCTTCCAATGTCAGAGCTGTTCCCATGATAAATTTCGCCGGGTTACGTACCGTGCGCAACGCGTTCAGACTCAGATCCAGCCTCGTGAGAGCGGAAAGGCTGGAGAACGTATTGACCCCGAGCCGGCCTATGTTGTTCCGGCTGAGGTCCAATACTTGCAGCTCGGTCAAGCCTGACAGGTGTATCCGTTCTATTTCCTGCAGGGAGGAGAGAATATAAGCAGTCGCTCGTGTGAGAGCCGTCGGCGAGCGTGCAATTTTCGCGAGAGAGAGAGAGAGAGAGAGAGATGACAAACGAGATACCGCTGGTAATGGCCGTCATCGGGCGGCGATACTCACGGTGACGAGGTTGTTGGAGATATTCAGGAACTTCAGTTCCGTTAAGTGTCTCAGCGCGTCGGTGGGAAACTCCCGGAGGAAATTAGCCGAGAGATCCAGCTGCAGTAGACTGAACGCCCCTGAAAAACCGTTAGAGCACACAGTAGTTCGAACATCTAATTTCGAGAGTTCTCGTCCCCTCCCTCCGCCCTCCCTCCGCGCCCCTCCGCGTCGGCTAGCCGGGGTGGAGGGTACTCGGAGGTAATCTCGTTCGCGCGAAATTATACACGGCGAAGCGCGTTCGGCTGACGGCGGGAGAAACGTCATGACGATTCGCGCGATGACAACGACGACGAGGACAAACCGAGTCGCAGCGTGGGTATTTCTTGCTCGTACGAGGAAGCGCAGAGGTTTCGTGAGAGCGAACGGACGGAGTCGGGTTATACGGGTGTGGGAACGCGGATTAGAGTTCATTATTCCGTCGAGGTCGCGTCGGCGAAGGCGCGCGCGTAGACCGACCTCTCGCACTTTCGTCGCTCTCGAAACACCGCCGAGGCCCGCACGGGATCTTCTCACGGCTTGATTAGCGCGGCTATTCTTACGCGCGCGGATCTAGGAAACGATGCCTCCTTCCGGAAAAATCGGTTACACGGTCGCGCGATACGGCGGCTCCTTCCGAAGCCTTCGTCGCCGGAGGAAGCGTGTATGAGAAAAGCGGTGCAGCCTATCGCTTTTGTCGCGAAACTGTTCTCTGAAGAGAGAAAAGTCGACAGACGATGACATTGTTCTCACCTTGAATGTCTTCGGAATATGAGTGAAGAGGAAAAATGAGGCGGGTCGATAAAAGCTTTTATCTGCTCCCCCCTCCCAGGATTTTCGAGAAATAATTTTTTTTTATTATATGATCGTTAGGAATGTCAAAAGTAACCATTAGATGAACTAAAAACTCGATCCATAAAGCTAAAATTAATTATTAATCCTTTTATGGCTAATCATTTATTTTTGCTCATTATACTTACTTGCCATCGTATTAACGTCATTTTAGACTATCAAGAGATTTCAAAAATAGTGTTTAATATGTTCAAAAAGAAAACAGAAGAAAAACAAATAAATAACAACACCGATTTTTCTTCCCAATTGAAATTCGCGGAATAATTAGATACGGTTTGAATGCTTATTTCACCAAATTGCGTAAAATTTGTCTTTCTCTGGCTCCTTACATTAATTTACAATTAATTTACAAAGTGCTCTAAAGGTAAACTACTGCTCACTTGAAGTGAATGGTAAAAAGCACCGAGCGAAATGCCTACCTCTGAAGACGTCACTGTTGAAGCGGCTGAGGGAGTTGTGCGAGATGTTGAAGAACAGCAAGTGTTGAACGCCGGAGAGAGCACCGTCCTCCATGTGAGACAGTTCATTGTTGCTAAGGTCCAGCCGCAGGAGCGATTCACCGAGGCTCGTGAAAGCACCTCGAGGAAGAACACCTACGAAGCAAGATACACGCAATGCAAGATAACGATCGAAAGAGAGGGAGAAGGACAAGAAAAACCAGCTCGACGCTTCGCGCGGAAAAAGTGACGCTGAATACATCGTGATCGTTAGATGACGCTTTTACGCTCGAGCGTAGTTAGCCGAGAACTCGAACGACAGGGATGTCCTGCGAGAGGACTGACATTTTCGTTCTCTCGTGAAGAGAAAGGAAAGAAAGAAAAAGGAAGAAGGAAAACGCTTGCAAGTCTGAAGTGCCTCACGCAAGTGGAAACGTAATGTTTCCTACGTTAATCAACGTGCCGTAACCTGTCACTTCATAGATATGGCTGCTTCTCGCTATCACGACGAGACACCGCTAATTCGCGTCGCGAGGGAATGCAGATTCGCTGACGGCGCGGAGGAGCCGTGTAATACGAGATACGCGGAGAAAGTCAGGCGTGAAAATTCTTCGTGCCGAGCTGTGCGAGCGTCTTCGCCTCGTTAAAGACGCTCGGAGGAGCGGCGTGTGCACGCGCGGCGACGGAGACACGACGCATCCGCAGGTTTTCTTCTCCGCCGCGAAACACGCTCTGATAACCGTGCAAACCGTAAAAAAAAAAAAAAAAAAAAAGAGAAGAAAATATCGGGTTTGTCTCACCGCAGCGCGGCACCGCACCGCACCGCATTTTTTTTGGTCGCGAATGTCGCTGTCGTTGATTCTCGGCGGAATCAAGTCCTTCGCACGAACGAATCCTTGTGAAAGAGAGGGAGAGAGAGAGAGAGAGAGAGAGAGAAAGAGAGAGAGAGAGAGAGAGAGAGAGAGAGAGAGAGACGTGGAAAGAATATTACAGCATGTTTCGTTAACAGTTTCTTTTAATTATTGTCTCGATGGTCGAATTTCGATATTACTATTTTCCGAGGAAGATGGTTTCCAAGTCCCGAAATGTTGATTTTCCACGTCTCACGTATCTCCCGCAGGATAATGAATTACGGCAGAGAATATCGATATACTCCTCGACCAGGAAATTCCGCGGGGATTGTTACTGCAAAATTTTCTCTCCGTGTGAAAGCGGGCCCGACATACCGCAGAGTCTACGCATTACATGTATATACCGATGTTGTTTCCAGCCAAGGAGAGCACCCTGATGGCGCGAGGCCCCTTGAGCGAGGCGGCCGGCACCGCGGTCAGATTGTTGCCGTCGAGGTAGAGCTCCTCGAGATTGTCGCATCCCTTGAGGATGCCCTCCTCGATGCTGCGAAGGCCGTTCCTGCTGAGGTCGAGTATCTCGAGCTCGTTCATGCCGTGGAACTCGTTGCTGGAGAAGATCGGGTTCAGACTGTCACCCAGCAGATTGTCGGCGAGTCGCAGCTCGCGCAGCTGCGACTGCACCTGCAGCAGCCGGTCCATCAGTCGGTAGATCGAATTGCTCGACAGGTCGAGCCTGCGGAGGCTCAGGCCGGAGTTAACGATGTCCTCCGGTAGGGTCTGGTGGCCGCAGTGCCTCTGGCTGACCGACACGAGCGGCTGGCCGCGCAGGACGCTGATGGTGTCCCGAGTGAAGATCACCCTGTCGCAGTTCATCTCGAGCGACCTCGGGTAGTCCGCGGAAACGGCGCACTTGCAGGGCACCAGCAGGTCTCGCTTCAGCTCGATGCATGGCCGCCATTGCGCCTGATACGACGCCACCAAGGCGCCCGGCAGCAGAAGGGCCGATAAGAGGTACGCGCTGTAAACGACAAAGGTTGTAAACGGGTACCGGTAGCTCGGAATGCGAAAACGAAGCCGATGAAGCGGCCGAGCGATTCGACGAGCTTCGAGCGCGACTCGAGATATCGCGGCTATAACCGCAGAATCGCCGTGCCTTCGTCTTTTCTCTCTCTCTCTCTCTCTCTCTCTCTCTCCTTTTCTCTCTCTCTCTCTCTCTCTCTCTCTCTCTCCCCCCCTCCTCGCTTCTGCTCTTTTTCGTTGAACTAGGTCGTGCTTTTTGCTTCTAGAGTGAGACGAACAAGGTGAATGTCCTAATTCGTGACGAATGAAAACCCGCTTTCCTTAACCCTTTGTGTGTGGCTTTAACATTTCTTTTACATGACGGATTTCTGTGAAATCTCGTTGTATCTCGATATGTTTTCTGGGTTGCTAATTACAAATCTGAAGTAAAAATTTGAAAAATTCAAAGTGGCGGGTCCAATACGGCTGCCATATAAATTCTCATAGAGCACAGACAGCTGCAGCAATGTTACTGCAATGTTGCAACATTGTATATTGCAATGTAATAATAATATTGCGTATATAAAAATGTGTCTCTGCAATATTGCAACGTTGCAGCGATATTGCTGCAACGGTCTGTGCTGTATGAGTATTAGTGTGAGTTTGAGTAAATGTGAATCAGACATACGATATAAATCACGTATCGAACACCTGAGCGGAATTGAAATTCAAGTAGCGAGGCGTGAGAAAATTCGATAATTTCCGGCCCAACAATCGCTCGAACGAAAAAGAAAACACTTTCGCCCGCCAAGAGAGTTAACGTTCCTCGCGCAATTATCTCTCTCGAAGTTAACGAGTTGTCGGTGAAACCGCGTGCGGCGAAACCACGGCTGTAAGACAATCTTCGTTTTATGATTCGTCGCGATTAATATCCCCTCCATGCGAATTGCGTTCGAGTTTTTACCCGGTGCATCTTTATGTCGCACCTCAGTGCCTCGACTGTGAGTGAGCTCTTAGCACGTACAGTAAAGAGTAGTAAAATTTATATTTTTAATATTAAATATTTTTAATATTAAATTTTTTTCTTATGTTGAGGCTTCGTCAAAAATTTGAAAATTGATCTGATGCCTTTGACAAAATATTCCTTCACGCGATATTTTTGTTTGGTGCGAAATACTCTGCCTTTGCGATATCTTTGCTCGAAATACAAAGTCACCTGGGGAAACGCACCAAGCGTGAACGCGCGGACCAAGGAAACACGCGAAAGAAATGAGGCGTGAATCACGCTCGCCGTCGTGAAAAGAAGCGATCGTTCATTTAATCGCGCGAGGTACGCAATAATTACTCAACACCTTGTTTCGCGAATCCCTCGTTGCGGGACATTAGCGACCTTTGTTAAGCAGCGCGTGCGTTATCCCCGGCTGTAATTACCGGCTATGCGCGATCGCACGCGACATACAATCTTGATCGGTGGACTTCTTGGCGCCGTGGCGTTCTGCATCTCGCAGAGAGAATTCAACGGCGCATTCTAACGGCACACACAAGACAACGTCCGCTTTATTAGCGTTGCAATTTCTGTCGGATACTTCTTTCCCTCCTGCTCTTACATCTCAAAAATATTCAAAGAGGTGTAAATACAGGGTGTTAAAAAAAAAAAAGAGTTCAGGGCTCTAAGGGCGGATAGTACTCACAAAAAAAAAGAAAAAGAAAAGGAAAAGAGTCGTAATAAATATTCGTAAAAAAATTAATTTTGTCAGAATTATGAACTAATATTCATTTTAATTAAAGCAAGTGATTACTCGCTTCTGCCGCCCTGTTATCATCTCATCCCGCACCCTGGACGAGTGTCCAGAGATATTCATATTAAATAACTATCAAAATGATTGATAACATCATCCTTCTTCTGATCTCTCGGCCCTTTTAGACCTTCCAGGCCCTTTCTAAGGAAAGGCAAAAGAGAATTCTCGCATTGAGAGAATCTATTCGCGATTCTGCAGCGTGCAACACGGCCGGCAACACGCAATTAGCCCCCCGCAATTAGCGATCCTGCGAGAGAGAAGGAGACTCGCGCGCGCTTCTTCGGCCGCTCGTCCTCTCGAAGTCGGGAATGCGAATTCGAGCTGACGATGGCGACCGGCGCGGAGTAACGGTAGGCGCTGTTTGCGGAGAATCAGGGACCATGTAATTCCAAGCAGCATCGCCTTGGGCAGGGCTTCCTTTCTATACGACGAGCGGGAGACTCGCAGCGCGAGCGAGACTGCAATAGCCTCCTTCGGCGGGCGAGCGCGCATCGGCCGCCGAGGATTGATTTCTAATTAAACGAGCCGTGCTAAAGGCGCGGCCTTTTTTCCTTCTTTCCTTCACCCCCCTCCCCTTCCCCCTTTAGCTCCCTCCCTGGCGTACGTCCGTTGGAATTTTAATTATCCGCGCGCGGGGCGGAAACGAGCGGCGCGCACAACGCGCTTGCGAAAGCCTGCTCGGTTTTCATTCCTCCGCGTAGCGGAGGATCGCGTGTTACACATTTTAATGCCGCGAAATACGCGCGGCGAGAGACGGCTCTCTCGTGACAACAACCGTGCTCTCTTGCGAGATCCATTCAGCGACGCAAGCACGCAAGCACTCACGCACGCACGCACGCAATTGCGAAATCGCGTGAGCGTCGACGCGCGAAAATATCGGGCGTCCGATTCGCGCGCGATCTTACGAAAGCGTGTGAACAATGGACTCGCTTTTGTTAAACTCGACCAGGGAGCTCGTAACGTACGACTGGAGGACCCGCCTCTTCTTCTTGTCTTCCTCCGTCTTCGCGGACCTGGAGCGGATCGTGTCATTAACCGTGCAGCCGAGAAGGCACGTTTCTTAAATGTCAGAGGAATCCGATCGCCAAGTTTCGACATGGTGACTGAGACGCTCAGTGTCTATTAGTGTTAAATAATTAACCTCCTCGGCGGTGTTTATCACTAGAGAGACGGAATTGATTGAAGTCAGAGGAGACGTTGATTTAATAAATTTTCATGCGATGTAAAAGATGACTGACGTCTGCCGATTATACGACGCGATTTCTCCTTTTCTGCGAATTTTTTCTTTTTGTGAAATTACCTTATGAATGATATACATGTGTATGTGTATATTTGTAATAATGTTCGTTACATTTTAACAACGATAACAATAATCTCCATTTTTCAACTCCACCGCGACGGACTCAGTCGATTTCGTCACTCGGAGAGAATGCCCCGAGAGCGCGCGCGACGACGCAGCTTCTCCGACGCGCGACCGAGGTCCGGGGTGATTTATCGTCGTTATCATTCCTCGGCAATTCCGCGGGATTGTTTTCAGCCCCATCATCGTAGAAAGTCCGCTCGGCTCGGACGCAATAATACAATTTGCGCGATGCGAGAGAACGCGCGCTAACGATTTCACTGCCTCCGATAAAAGTGAGTGAGCGAGCGCACGCGCGCGCGCGGTTTCGACGGCGACCGCGCTCTTCGATTCGATTAAATTGTCAGTCCCGGAGATTCGGATTATTTATTTGGGCCACGCGAAAGTTCTTCTTTTATGCGTAGTAACGAAACGAAGTACGAAGCCGCTGATGTCCGATCAAAAGTGCCCGCCGCTCGTTATTCCGTCGCTTTCTACCATCCTTCGGATAATTGCTACTCGATTCCACGTTTGTCAAGCGGCTCTTGTGTCTTTCGGGCTGAATCATCGAACGTCTGCGAGTCCCTGACGTGTCGCAGTCAAAGAAACAGATAAATAGATATTTAGAATATTTAAAATTTAGAAGTCAATAAATAGATAAACAACTAAATGAATCACTTCTTACTCTCTTTTCCTCATTTTTCTCTTTCTTCTCCGCTATTATTATTGTATGAAATTAATTGTGCCAACAGGATTAAGCGATCAAGTGGATAAACAAGTAACAAATAAATAAATTGTCACAGAGCATAAAAGTCTATCTAAACATTTTCGATCGACACGTTTCCTCTTCGGTAGAAAAATGGCACGAGCATCTCGCGCAGAAAGATAATACTCAATTACCCGAGATGGGAGCGGAAACGTCGAGCAAAACGCCATCGCAATCGTACGTTCGGATCGCATCTCGTCGAAACGGAACCGATCCGTTTGGGTTTCATTCAGTTTCGTGTCGACCGATCGTGTCGACTTCCACGGGCCCCTTCGCAGACCCGATACGGCCGCACTCGACGCGCCTCCGGGCGTCTTTTCACAATGTTGAAACAGATATAACGGTGTTCCGACGGTTCGTACATACAAGGTGTGTCAGAATCACGGAGCGTTCTCCGCGGCGCGAGTTCCTCCGAGAGGACGTCAACGTCGATCCTCCTTCAGCGTGAGAACCTCCATTGCCCCCCTCCGCGAGAATTCTTCGTTTTCGAGACCCTGACAGCCAAACGCTCTCGGAGCCTTGAGTTTCATTCACCTCTTAGCTCAATCTGAAATATCCGCCGAAAGGAAAGCGGCCAAACTCTTGACGACGGAAATATCCGTCCATTTCAAAAAAGAAAAGAAATACTCGCAACGAATTTTGTTTTCGACGTTTTGGACTCAGGCGAGAACCTGAGAACATAACAATATCGTTCCGATTGCTCTCCGTTTAGGTATTTCTTTTTTCTTTCTTTAGAATGCGCGGCGAATATTCATCGACAGGTCGGGTCATTTTGCATTCCGCGGATATTTCCGTCGTTAGCATCCAAGGGCCCTCCTCGCGTCGTTGAGGACCTCTCCTCAAGGGAGTTCCCCAGAGCTCGACCGCCCCGCTATTTGCAACACCGAGTAACTCTGCGATCGTCGGCGTTACGCGCGTACCGGCATTGTTCTGACAATAAGAGTTCACGCGTGGTCGCAAGGACAGCTGGCGATTTCGCGTGGGACACGCGACGGTCGCGGTCGAACCGCAGCAGGACTCGAGCAGGATCGCGGACGCATCTCGAGGACGTGTCCACGGTGTCGCCGGAGAGCCGGCTCGTAAAGACAGCTCTACGCGCTTAATTACCATGTCGGATAAACAGGTTTAAGCACAAAAGAATCGGCTGGAAGACGCGGCCTCGCTGAGGGAAATTCTCTCTCTCTCTCTCTCTCTCTCTCTCTCTCTCTCTCTCTCTCTTCCGGCGCACGCGTGAGGGAGACGGCAGGTAGTACCGGATTAGAAATCACCGACGGGGTGATCTAACGCGATAGCCACGCTTCCATGGGGAATGCATTTTTGTGCTTCCGTTGTCGGCCAGGCGCATCCCGAGCGCGCGCGGCTTCGCATGTTCCGCGAGGAATGCGACGAAGGAGAGGTTGCATAAACGTTACACTCGCCGGTGCTCTCAAGCCGCTCTCGCCAGCGAGACGCGGTTTTCTTCACGACTCTGAAGGGGATGGCAGGTCTCATGCGTGAAAATTTCATCGAGCGAACACGGATCTTTTCGGTCGCCTGTCAGGACCGGTTGTTCCAACTTCTTGGCAAGTTAACTGATAGTTGAATCATATGTCTGTCCTTTCGTTTAACCCTTTCACTGCTGAATCAACTTCCCTTGAGAAAATTATTAAAATGTTTGGTGGTCCTACGTTTGTTGGGTCGCTGATTACGAATCTAAAGTCAGATTTGCAAAATTCCAAATGGCAGACACAATATGGCGATCATGATGTACAAAATTAATGAAAATTTCAATTATTATTAAATAATTACCAGGTCGCAATAAGAACATATGATTCTAGACGATGGAACTCGATCGAGCTGGAAAAAATTGATGTGGGAAAATGTTCAGTACTGCATATTTATGCTTACTAGAGATTAAACATTCATTTTTGAGTAAAATAATATTGATAGTATGGATAAGATGGAGATATAGAATGAAAAAACTAGGAAAATAGAGCTAAAAAGTGCAAAAAAATCAAATTTCGGCCGTTTTTGTAGAAATATTCGTTTATAAAAAAAAATCTAATCTGCAAAAAAATATTGAAAAAAGTATATGTTTTTGTACAACATCGGAAAAATATTTGGTGAAAATTTCAGACCTCTACATTCGATACTCTCCGAGGAATCGATTTTTTCCTAAGAAAAGCATTTTTTTTTCAACTTTGATTTGTTATAAATAATCACAAATGAATAATTGGGTACAAAAACCTATTGGAATATGTTGAACAACTATTCAGTTATATCTGGAAAACTCAAATCCCCGATTAGTTCTTCAAAATTATGTGATTTACAACGCAAAATTTAATCAAGAAAAGGTGGGGAGTATACTTCCCGCTAACAATGAAAGGGTTAAGTTGAAGGAAAAACAAAGACAAACGTATGATTTAATCAGTTAACTTAGCAAGAAGCTGGAACAACCGGCCCTTAATTGCAAATGCTTTTGTACGTGGAAGTGAGTCGGAGCGACGCTCGATGATGTGCGACTGTAAAATAATTCCAAAATTGACCACGTCTCTCTCCAGTTCGCGGAAAGTTCCCTGCATGCGCGGTGCACCGCTTGTGTTCTCCGTTAAACGCGATGAAACCAAACATCACACCTTGTACATACGGAATAAGAAGCGTGATTGTATTTATGCTCATCCGTCATGACGCTTTTTTTCCCGATCATTTCGGCGTTATCGACGTTTCTGGAGCTCGTCATCCGCTCTGGCGTCCCCTTAACTCGAAATAAGATCTTCGCTTGTCACTCCCCTTCTTTTTCCTTTTTCTTCCCTCTGCGGAATGTCGGCGGATAGTCGAGAAAGACGCAAAAGTACCGTTTAGAATTATACACACACGCACGCACACGCCTGCGTATCCGATGAATAAACATGAAGACGTTTTACATTACGTTCGAGAAAAGTAACTATGCGAAAAGATGTTATAAAGGAGAATTAATCTTTTGAAATATCGAGGGAATATCGAAAATTGTACATGTAAAAAGAGAAATGGAAGATGTACTTGCCCGTTACGCGTTACGCGTCTTTCGCGAGCGGCAATTTCAATGATTGAAATGAACACAATCGATTAGAGAATTTAATTCAATTAACTTGAAAAGATGTTTGATAAAAGGAAAGCGACCTCTAAATGATCCCCTGAAGGATCCCTCGAAGGACGGGTGATCTGGCTTAATTGTCCACTTCACTTGTCGTCAAGTGCCTGCTGTATTTCTTATCGGTAATTAAATCAGGAACGCTGAAGGACATCACGGAGGCGACCGCGTCTTAACGCCCGAGCTGGAATGATCTACCTGACGCTTGACTTTCTTATTCTATGAATCATGATGTTAAATGTCAGCCGGGCTGTCGATGACGGCAAAACACAGCGCGGTATGGGTACTCTCTCGGCTCTTATCCTGATGACTTCGGGACTGGATGATCAACCAGCAAGATGTTCACTCGTCATCATAGTTCTTTTCACTTTCTTTTTCCACAAGATTCGAATAACTTTCCTCGACCGCCTCATCTCCGCCTCAACTCGACTCCTCGCTTCGCGAGAGGCGTGCATTGTCCCGCAAAGAAATGGAGCGAAATTTGAAACTTAAAGTTGCAGGGATAAAGCAAAACGGGTATTTTGCGGAAGAAACGAACGTCCGTTGATGCGACTGAATTTTCTGCGAACCTGTTGATAAAAACTCGACTGTGGAAACAGAAAGATTCCTGCCCAGTTGATTTTATTCTCAATTATCTTAACGTAGTCGTATATTCAAACGAACCAGTTTTCTGACTCTGAACGTTTCAGGACAACGCGAAGAGCCTTCGACGGACACGCCCCAGCGAATTTATACACTCCCCCGGAGAACAGCGACGAAATCCCGAGTAAGAATGTCGACCCTCTATTTTCGCCTTCAATATTTATAGACTCTGGTTGATCGATAAACATTTAATCGATATAAAAACGGAAGTCCTACTTGGGGCTCCTCCAAATGGCAAGAGACGCGCAACTTTTCACTCGTACGTTCCGGAGATGAGCTCTCGGCGGAAAGAAAGCTGCAGAGAGAGAAAAGTCAGATATATACTGATATTATGACATTCAACAATATCAAATAATATGAAACAACATAGCGTACAGTATATCTCGGCAAGAAAGCTGCGCGTAGAGAATAATTCGCGGCGCGGCGAGACTCGCTCTTGCGGTCGTCGAAGTCTCCGAAGCGACGAGTTCTCGCTCTCGCGCGGAGCCGCCACCTTCGGCGCTCGCTCTTTCCGTCCGATCGACTCGATTTCCTCGACTTTTCACGCGGGTCCGCCTCGTTTCAGGCATCGTCGACGTGAAGAGGAGGCGCGCAACTTACAGCATGATCGCGCCTCCCGACGACGTGACGCTGGCGCAGTGAGAGTAGCTCGCGGTCGCGGCGGTAACACTTCACCGCTGATCGGCCAACAGCATCACACCGTCCCCGTAATGGACGGACACGGGGCGGACACACAGGTGGACACACGCACACGACATATACACGCACACGCACGCATGCACGGGCGAAGAGCCGGGGATCACCGCGCACTCGTCATGGCTAAAAAATCGTCGTCGTCGTCGTCGTCGAGCCGGCGAGTCGCCCGGATCGGCGATCTCGTTTCCGCGCGCCTTCGAGTCGGAGACAATCCGGACGCGACTTCTCGCGCTCCCGTTTCCCTCTTCTGTCTTTCTCTCTTCTTTTTCTTCTTCTTCTTCTTCTCGCACTGGAGAGAGGGAGACGAGAGAGAGAAAGAGAGAGAGAGAGAGAGAGAAAAGAGAAAGAGAGAGGAAGAGAGAGTGAGAGGAACGGAAAGAGGGAAAAGGTCGCAACAGCTGAGGCAACACACGCGAAGCGAGCCCACGTCGGCGATCGCGCGGTCGGTCGCACACTGGCTGCTCACGTCGGCTGGTGGAAAATCGTGACGGCCGAATGAAAGAGAGGGACCCTGAGGAGGAGAGCGCGCACCGCCCGCCGTGCCCTTCCCCGGAGTTCGCGGGCTTCGACATAACGGAGATCGTGAGTTAACTCGCGCGAGCCAGGCTCCGCTCCGCTCCACTCCTGTCGTCTCGTCTATACCGGATCCTGATGTGTCTCGTCCACAATATTGGAACGTGGAAGGACACCACGGGAGTGGAGTCGAGTCGTTGATTTAGTCGAGGAGGGCTTTCCTTAGGGAGAGAGTGACGGCAAACGCGAAGAGACTGATCGAATTCGCGTATTTAGACCGCACGAGATCTCTGCATCCTCGTCGGTCGAATCGCGACCTCCGAGGCGAGGCCTTGGAGTGAACGCAGGACGATGTCCTGTCGCGAGGACCCAGCGGCCTCCGAAAGACATCGCTGGTATGCCATTCGGAATATTTATTTATTTGGTTATATATTCATATATTAACGGAAATCATCTTTTTAGTATACAATGATACACAATTATCATAAAATAAAAAAAGAACACAATCATAATAAAATGAAAAGAGGAAGCAGGACAAAGGTAAGTGAGAGTATAACAGGAGAAAGGAAAAATGTAATTTTAAATGAATTGTCTAAATTAATTAATAATTAATCAAGTAAATCGACATGAGAATATGATAACGGAAAGGAAAAAATTACTTGTAATTTTAGATAAAATTGTCTAAATCAATTGTTTAAATAAATTATGAAGGCTCGAGACAGATGCGCAGTCAACAGATGCTGAAATGAGAATCGGGAAAAGGAGGGAATATCGTGACGACTCCTCAGAGATAATTAACCAGGCGTTTTAGCTGTCATTTAACTCCTCTCCTCGAGCGGAAAGAATTCAAAAAATATTCTTCAGGGCATTTTAATACAGGGCATTTAATACAGAATTCGTAATTCGTTATGCGATGCGCATATCTCGTCAAAGCGGCCGCTCCGCAGCATCCGCGAGGCGAAGCTTTACTTTAAGCGGCCCATGTAACAGTTCTCTTCTCGCGGCGTGTGTGCCGAGATACACCCACGGAAACGGAAACTGGAACATCGGGAAAGAGCGACTCTCGATCCCGAGATCGCGGCGCGATGCTACTCGACGCGAGCCTGCAAAAATGTAAAACCGATTGACCCGGAAATCTGCCTCGCGAGTACGCGAGTCTCGATTCAGCGCGCTTGATACTTCGCCATTAATTGCTAATAATTAACTAGACTCCGCCGTATATTCGCTCGTGGATTTCATCAAGCACATAGCCGAAAGAGAAGAGCTGATGCCACAAGAGCTATCGGGGTGACGATGAGCGTCATGCTTACGGATGAACTCCCCCCCCCCACGTGATAGACTTGTAAATGCATGAACTTACGAAATACTTGAAACGAGTATAACTTACACTTGAACGGAGCGCGGAGTGTATTGTTCTGTGTGCGGAGAAAGAGGTGCGGATAGTGTTTGAGCAAAAGGAGATTCTCGGCTCAGACCGGCTACGCGCTGGCGACGAAATCGGCGGTGTTGGGTGAACACGCGCGAGTGAATCGAGAGGAACGTTTCTCGGCCGGCCTTTCACTGTCGCGTCGACCGACTCGCGTTGACTCTCCTGCTGGCGCGCGTCCGCTTAACGAACCGGTCGTCCGCTGGTATGCCGGTATTTCAGAGCTGTCACTTTGACTCCTCCTCAGTGGAAGAAAGTGAGAAAAATATTTTCCAAAATATTGTCATCCGGAATTTATAAATTGTCCAAGAAGAAATATTTTAATGCGATCCGCACATCTTGTCGACACGCGAAAATGCTCCTTTGTCCTCCGAGGCTTGTCGTCCGAATTCACGCGTTCACGCGTTCCTGGCGACGCCTCGATGGTGACTGAGACCGGCCCAATGTTGCGGATTTCGGACTTGACTTCCGTAATCGCGAGGATGTCGGAGCTTGCAAGTGTTTCCTCGAGCGTTCTTTAAACGCGTCCTGAACTTTCTCAGCGTCATCCGCACGTATTTCTCGCGCGATCTTCGGTTTTAGACGTGCCGCCGGTGTGTTATTGTACGCTCTCGGGGATTTCATATTTTTCGAGGGTCGATTTTCATCGATTTCTTCCTTCCACTCGATAGTCTTCGATTTGGATCGATGGGAGAACTCGATTCGCGTTGCGCGTGTGCTCGAGAAATTCACAATGGGCGTCTACGTGCGCGTGTAACCTCTAAACTTCAAGTAGCTGTCAAAATTCGAATACTCCGAGCGATTTTTAGCAGGTTTTCGGCGAATCGCGACGACAATCATCGTTCGCGAAGATGTCAGCGATGTTAACCGCTGACTGGTTCCCACTGGGGCGTGATATATATTTCCGGTAAATTTCTGGAGATTATGTTATGATACAGATTTTTCAAGGTTATGTTTATTATCTGCTATGCGTGTCAGATGACAAGGGAACATGGTTCTATACGTGATTCTTATTGCAGAAAATTTGAGCTCTACCCGCTATCCTTTCAGCATGAAATTTCCAACAATAATTGGGTCGTGGCAGCTCCTTACGGGGGTTCCATTGCTGTCACAAGAAACCCCAAAAAGTTTGTCAAGGTCCAAGGAGCAACGAAGCCTGCAATACTGCTGTACACGTCGTCGGGGAAATTGACAGCCAAGCTGCAAGTAAGAGTTCTTTAGTTTAGCACAAGCGACAACAATAAGTTGAATGATTTATGAAGCATAGGCATATAAAAATTGTTATTTTTTTATAAGTAACAAAATTATTACGCAATAAAAGATAATGTGCTTCTTTCTTCCTTCTAGTGGAGCAGCGGGCAGCTGATAGCACTGGGCTGGTCTCAGCAGGAAGAACTGCTGTGTGTGCAAGATGACGGCAATGTCCTCATATATGATATGTTTGGGACTTATCAACATACTTTCAGCATGGGAGATGTAAGCCATAATTTACATATAAATTATTCTGCCATAATTTCTGGCATTTCTGTGTACGCGTGTATTAATTTTTTTCTTCAAGGCAGCCAAAGATACAAAAGTTATCGATGCAAAGTTCTTTGCAACTTCAAACAGCACAGGGATAGCTGTTTTAACATCCACCAATCGTATTTATCTAGTGAACAATGTGTCCGACCCTAAAGTCCGGCCGATTATGGATATGCCTAGTGAGTATAATAACATGCCTGTGCACTTGTTGAATTGTCATTGTTATTGCAATCGTTGCATCTAGGATACGGCGGTCCAATTGATTGTTGGTGCATGATACACTGTGACAGGGAGACGCAGGTAATTTTATCAAACAGAGAAGGAATATTCGTGATTCATCAATCTCATCAAAATGCATTTCCATTCGTAAGTACGATGTTATGTGATTCACAATATCGCTGTCGATTTGTGTTTTATCCGATAATCGTCATTTAGATGAGTTCTTTCGTGTTACTTTTAGACTAATCTTTTCAACAATAAGATCAACAGCGTGCTGGCGATAGCTGTGTCTGGCAACAATCAACACATCGCGCTTTATGCCGACACTGGACATTTGTACATCGGCTCGATAGACTTTCGTGAGAAGTACTGCGAATGTTTCACAAACGTGAACGAAACGCTAACCAATATCGCGTGGTCAGTGTAGTCCATTGTGTAATTATTTCAGAGACATCAAGATGTTTACGGAATGTTACGTACGTGTTTGCAGGTGTGGTACAGAAGCCGTGGTATGCAGCTGGAGCACCACGATAATGGTGGTAGGGCGTACAGCCGAGACTATAGTGTACAATTACGACGGTCCAGTACACCTGGTGACAGAGATCGACGGGGTGCGCGTGCTATCGGCCTTCTCCCATGAGATGGTACAAAAAGTGCCGAACGTCGTGCAGAGGATATTCAGAATAAACTCGACGGATTCCGCCTCTTATCTCCTAGAAGCTTCTAAGCAGTTTCAGAGGAAGAGCCACAAGGCTGACAGCTACATCGACTTGGTGAAAGATAAGTTGGACGCAGCGGTGAAAGCGTGTATCGACGGGGCGAGCCACGAGTTCGATTTTGAGACGCAGAAGCTTCTGATGAGAGTAAGTTTGATAAGGTAGACGCATGCGTTGTCGTCTCGGCGTGTTAAAACCAACGAATAACGATCGTCGATCGATCTTCTCAGGCTGCCAAATTCGGGAAAGGATTCAGCAAGTCGACGGATGCGGAGTATTACGTCCAAATGTGCAGGACTTTGAGAGTCCTGAATGCGGTGAGGCACCCCGCTGTAGGAATCCCACTGACGTACACGCAGTATCCTTTTGCACACGTTTAGTCATGATATTACATACTGAATTACATTACTGATTCAGTATGATATTACATACTGAAGATGAAACCAAAATCCAAAGTTTCTTCGTATTCTGCACTAAAGTATCATCTTGTATCGAGTCGTGTAGGATCCTTATTGATGTTAGATACAACGTTCTGACAAACCAAGTGCTGTTAGACAGGCTAGTGGCGCGTAGACACTACTACTTAAGTATACAGATCGCACGGCATCTGCAATTGCCCGAGATCGACGGAGAAAGTAGAATATTAGCTCATTGGGCTTGTTTCAAGGTAAAACACCCGAGACGCAGGTCGTTAAGAATCGGAAGTTCGTTAAAAATTAACGCACTCTTCTTTCGTCTTGCTTGTGATAGGTGAAGCAGACGCAGTTGGACAAGGAACAGCTGGCAGAGGAGATAGCCGACAAGCTAGGGTACGCTCCCGGTGTTTCGTACAGCGAAATCGCGAAAAGAGCAGCCGACTGCGGGCAAAAACAGCTGGCCATTAAGGTACAATTTTGCCTGTTGATCCGCGCGAGCATGAGATATTGTGAACGATGCAAATGTTGCAGCTGATCGACTACGAGCCACGCGCGCATCAACAAATACCCCTGTTGATGGCGCTCGGTGAGGAACGAGCCGCCCTACATAAAGCTGTGGAGAGTGGCAATACGGACTTGGTCTACACCGTCATTCTTCGTCTTCGGGAAAGCACGACTCTTTGGGACTTCCAAGTAAGCGGTGAAAATTAACGCGGTAAAAGTGAGCAGCACAGTCACTTACGGTTCACACGATCTTACAAACTGATCTGCGACGCAGATGGCCATAGCACATTGTCCTCTGGCGATGGCTCTGTACATTAAGTATTGCCAGAGTCACAATAGAGAGACGCTGCGTGACATTTACAATCAGTACGACGACTTCCATTCGCAAGCGGTGTGGTTCATCACCGAGAGTTATCAGCGAAAGGTAAGAGAAGAAAAAAGTAAGTCCATTCGCTTTTCTATGTAATTCTGTGTAATCTTGTCGTCATGTTACGTAACATATATTGAGAAACGAACGAGAGGCGATACACTGGGAACTTTCAGAACACAATGTCGAGGGACGCGCTGCTGCAATCCGCGCAGGAAAATTTCAAATCGGCTCATAGCGACACCAACGCGGCGCTGACGGAGGAGCAGATCAAATTATTAAAATATCAGAGGTCTTTGGGAAAGACGTTGCACGAGTCGGTCGTGGGTAAACCCCTACACGATACCGTGAAGCTATTGTTACTGCGTAACGAGTTGAAACTAGCAGATAAATTACGATCGGAGTACAAGATACCGGATCGAAGGTATTATTGATCTTTATTGCTTTTGGCGAGAACTGTGTGTATTGAGTCACTTCTTAGTATAATCAGGGATTGAAGTCGGTATAAAAAACACCGTTTTCAAGCCGGTATTTCTCTCTTGGTGGCTTATATGAAAACTACTCTGTGTAAATATCAGTATTATAAAAAAATAAAAAATTAGTGCAAAATTTCGGTATGATGCCAATATTGATTATTAAATGTCCAATACTGATGTTATGACCAAAATTGCAACAATATCGGTAAAGAACACCAGCATGTACAATATTATTATAATTTCGATATTCGGCTTCTATGTTAAACGGATACTTCAACAGGTATTGGTGGTTGAGAATACAGTGTTTGGCGGAGGAAGGGTTGTGGAGTGATTTGGAGAAATTCTCCAAGAGCAAGAAGTCTCCCATTGGCTATGAGGTGAGGATGACCGACCGAGCAAGTTTGTTATTAATTTCATATAAATATATGCTTTATTTCAACATTATTAAACATAATCGTGATGTTTGGTAAATGTTTTAGCCATTTATAGACGAATGTTTGAAGTACAACGAAAAATTGGAAGCGAGAAAGTACTTGACCAGGGTACAAGACGATCTTAAAGTGAAGTACCTGGTAAAGTTGAAGTGAGTACTTTGTATCGCGCACGAATAAATGCTTCTTATAAAACTCAAGTGAATAAAATTATTATTATTTTGTAGCATGTTGAACGAAGCGGCCCAAACGGCGTTCGAGCAAAAAGATACCTCGGCTCTTACATTTGTACTGGCGCAATGCGGATCCTCAGATAGACAATTGATAGATAAGATCAATTTATTTCTAGCTAGTCTTAAAAATTAAGATTTTCTTATTCGTCAAACATTAAAAGCGATAAAGATATATGACGAAGATAAATAGATAAAATAAGTAAGATAAATAATTCGCATTTCGCATATAAATATTAATATAATCCCTCAACATTAATGTTGAATATAATCTGCAGCAAAAGATAACTTTGTCAATTCAGTAAACATTGAAACGTGAAAACGCAACTTTCGTAAAGTCAATGAAACGGTAAATACTTTTTCTGATAAATGTATATCAGACTTCTTAATCAATAGCAAATCGATCTAGATGTCCATCGACCTGTCTATGTGTGCTTGTCGTAATCTGTACAAAGATATACATGTAAAATGTCGATCGTATAAAATAGTGGTAACCAAGTCCTGCACATCTGTAATACTTTAGATACGTGTGTGTACAGCAATATATATTATATATTAAACCTGAGTTCAAACCTATGTATCCCTCGTTAGTATCCCGTTGGTATCCCACAGTTGTAACATTTCTTATTCTTGAAATATACGTCAAAAAAACCTGATAGATACCTTAGCATTATCCATACTTAATCTATCTAGCAGATTCCAGCAATACGATCAACTAACTTCATTAGATCGTATAAATTTTGTATGTTTCTCGACGAGGTCTTTCACTATTAATTGTTCAATCTCCTCGCCGTTGTTTAACTGCTCGTTCGTGAGCGACAAAACATAGTTGGTCTCGTTGCTCACGATTACCACCTGTTGTTTTCTAGTTTGCAGCACGTTGGCTATTACAAGCTGAAACAGATTTCCATTTCAAGGATTGGCAGACACGTTCTGAAAGATTTGGAGAAACTTGGTGGTGCTTATATTTTAATACAACTACTCACGTTATGGTGATACTTATTCAGAGCTTTTCTCGCTTTAGTGATCAGCAGGGTTTCATCAGTCTCCAGTTTAAATGACACCACGAATGCTTGCGGCACCCATAAACTAACTAATGGGGCTAAGATCTTTGGCACTAACTGAAGCTGGATAGTTGGTGGCCCACAGGCGGAGGGTATCTTATGGACCGACTAAAAGCATCGAGATTATTTTGAGATCACAGGAGACATTGCGTTGCATAATCGATATTAAACAATAAACTTCACCATTTCATTGGAGGGAATGTAAAAGTCTGAGACTGCTGCTGCTAAATATAGAATAGCTCTGTTTCCTAGAGGTGCTAATGCTTGACAAGCAGATCGGAGTAGCCAAAGATATTCGGAAAGAGTTGTAAAGCTGAGTTGTAACAATTTTTCCTTGTCCATTGCTTCTTTATATTTTCGCAACACTGCCACCACTTTTTGCGTATATTTTGGTGATACTATATTCAGAAAATAAGCATATCGCAATGTCAATTAGATTACATTAATTACACATTATTACACATAATGTGATGTAATTTACCTGTGATAACAGGATTCTCGTTATCTTCTGATATTTGAAGCATATCTAAAAATGTCTGACCTAGAAAGTGCCTAGAAAATGGTTCTAAGGACTTCACTCTGAAATGAAACAAAACTTTCTGTATTGTATAATGATTATTTTATCAAATCTATTTAAGCTGTATAACATGGAAAAATGACGTACACACCTATACATAAAAATAACTGCATATCCATGCTGCAAGAAATATTCTGCGGAAAGGGATCCCCTTGTGCCTGCACTGAAATTATCTACAAATCTTACTGTATTGTGTTCTAAAGGAATCGTTGTGCCTCCACTCTGTAATATTCACAGTTAAAGAAAAATATATTAGAAATTTATATATATATATATATATTTGTAATTACTTAATACTGTTTATGCCTACAACATTTCACTTTTATTCACCGTTATTAGCACTACTTTGTTACCCCCCTCTAAGTGTTTCTTAGTAAATTCCTTCAATGCATTCTCATTTTGTGCCAAGTCTTGAGGAGGTGGATGCTTGGCATAAAAATCTTCCCACGCTGAGACCATAGTAGATATTTAGGAGTATAAGGATCCAAGAGTCACTTAAAAGAATTGCTGTGAGAAAAAAGAGAAACTTTAGAAACCTATGTCAGCCATTAAGTAAATTCATACCTGTGCATTTACACATATATGTATGTGCGCATATGAGTGTATTACATAAGGAAAACTTAACCTTGCTGACAGTGGTTTAAAATACATTCTTAATTTGATGTATAGTTGACGATCATTTTTTATGATATTTATAACCCTATTTTTTTTTACGTATGACGTCGCAAAAATGACGAACCAGTAACTAGATTTTCTTCATCGATAAATTGCGTAAAATAAAATATGAAAATTGAAAACTAACCTCAGAATCGCAAGTTTCGTAAAGAAAATAAGATTCATTGGTCGATATCGTTTATTAATTTATGTTTTTCTTCAATGTGAGTTATGTAAGAATCTTAAAATAAATTACTTGATATCCTCTTATATAACACAATAGTATATCTTAAGTAGTATCTTACACTCCTTTCTTCACAAAGAACCACATTCCACAAGGACGTGAGCACAAGTAATTTGTTTGTGAGATGCTGACCAGCTGATATTTTTTATCGTAATTATCGTGAAGTGAATGACAAGTTAACAATTATATATGTTATTTATCTTTATTCTCTAAACATATTGTTATTCTGTATATAACAAAAACAATATTCTATATAAATTTTCATAAAATTTATCATTACATTAGTATTCTGATAAAAAATGACAAATTTCCTTATTCATTTTAATTATATAAATATTACTGTAATAAAACAAAAAACTCAAAATATTAGTTTACATTGTATTAGTACCGATTACACAGCACAGATAAGTTTTTTATTAAATAAATTTCTACAGACAATTATATAATTTACATTTAATAGTAAATATAATATCCTTTCAAACATATTTCAAGATTGCTGTGCTGTTATCAATAGACTATATCAGCAATCTCACAAAAGGAGCTTATATCTAAATTACTTGAAGGAAGTAATTATAACAATTTATTCCTACAACAATACTAGTTACACGGTGCAACTTAATATTCAGGTGCTTGGCTCTTCTCTTTGCTGTAATCTCTGACTGGTGATATGAACTGCAAATAGAAAGAAAATAGCAGTGTCAGTACTTCACAAGAGCAAAAATTTCTTTGAGATCACCTGAAATAAAGTTAAACAAGGCAATATGGGATATCGCTATTTGTGAGTGGCTCTCCTCACCTTGTATTGTTTATCCTTATAGGAGTTCCATGGCTCAGCTTCTTTCTTATTGAACCAAGAGACATCAGGACTGCGGAATGCTAGACGTAATGTGTAAAATGTCGCAATAAATCCTCCCACTCCTATACAAACGTACAGTGGGATTAGCTGTAACAGAAAATAGGCCATTGAGGAACCGAATGTTCATGTCGTATGTATTATACATTCGACTATGTAAAATTCGATTGCTCACAGCGGGATGCTTCTTCATGCTGCTTAAACTTGTTCCTTGCATCTTGATCATTTTGGCCGCTGATCGAGGAGTTTGCAACGGTTAGAGGAAAAGAATGAAATTCGTGTCCTCGAACGAAGCAGACGCACCAATACGTTCAATCTTGAAAGCTAGGTCCAGTATCTATCAGTGCGATAAATCACCCCACTCGAACTCAGCACGCTACGAGGGCGAATGAAACGAAAGATCAACCAGAGAGGAACGTGAGAGCGGCCAACACGGTGTTTTCGACGACACCGACTTTCCGCACTGGAAAAGGGCGCCATCTGCATCCATTTTGAAAGGGGAACAACGATGCTACTTTCACTTTCAGGTTTAGGCGGTAAAATCTATATGTGGTGGCAGTCCGTGCTACATCCATTCTTAGGCGGTTTATGTCCGTGCTACAACCATAATAGCGTACTTGACAAGCACGGTCTCGCACATTATTACGCGTTTATAACATGAATTAACATGTTAACATGTGCAAAAAAAAAGAATTGACATTGTGTATGATTAATATCATGAAGATCATACTTACCGGAAGTGTCCGGTAATTAGCTGCCAACCCGAAGTGTGAGGGTAGATTGGGTTGAGACAAACATAAAAGTTCCATACCATTTTGCGAGATTCGCAATAATTATCGAGTTATCAATGACAGAAATCTGAGGAGTAAAAGCGCGCCGACATAGATGATTCGAAAAGCGTTGCAGCTGTTCGGGGCAGCGATCATGAATCTTTTCTCTAGCGTCAACTAATAAAAAGTGAAAGACTTCTGTGAATCAGTGAAAAATGAAAAATTTTATATGAATTTGTGAAAATCGAAACACTTCACACGACAATTGAGTCGTTCAACATGGCAGTTGCGCGTTCTGGATAATTCAATGAATACCAAAGAAATCAAAATGATCGAAATAATAATGTTCGTGTAGTCCGAAGGATATTATGTGACACGCAAAATCCGTTTCATATAATATCCAAAGAAAATGTTTCAAAATATGTATGTACAGGTAATATAAACCTTATGCACCGACGAGATATACTACAAAAACTGATGACCTTACGGGATTTAGCGTACCAGAGAAATTTCCCTGGTGAGGCACTCGGGCGAAAGAAGAGACCGTCTCGCATTTAGCGCAGTAAAATTTAATGGAAACTAATACTTTTCAATCCTTTTCTTCGGATCAAAAAGATTCAGAATTCAGACATATTCAAAATGTCAATACTTTTTAATACGTTTCAATTCGACATTTTATACAGAAAAGTAGGACGAAGGGAATGGGATGCGGGCAACGATACATCATGCGTCTCCAGACGTGTCAAATCGTTTATTATAGAGGAGACTATGATACGGCAACTTGTATTCGAATATTTAATCGTCCCATGGACCACTTATATATAATAAAAAAAAAAAAATTAACGTGGATAAATGAACGATTCGTATCAATTTTTCCTTTTCTTATAGAGCAATGAAAGAGTAAATCAGTATCGAAAATCAAATACCGATTAATACCATAAATCAGTGTCAGAAAATTGTCCAATGACAATTTGTTCTCATTTTTCAGGTAGTTACCGCTCTAATTTACAAAACAAATTAACTCGGTTAAACGAACGATTCGTACCAATATTTCTTCTCTTATAAAGAAATGAGAGAATAAATCAGTACCGAAAATCGAAGGCCGATCAATACCTAATTTATTCATCAAATTAACGCGGATTAACGGACGATTCGTATTAATTTTCTGTTTTCTTATAGAGAAATGAAAGAGTAAATCAGTACCGAAAATCGAATACCGATTAATACCATAAATCAGTGTCAAAAAATTGCACACGTGCATTGACAATTTGTTCTTATTTTTCAGGTACATACCCCTCTAATCTTATTCAACAAATTAACTCGGATAAACGAACGATTCGTATCAATTTTTCTTGTCTTATAAAAAAATGATAAAATAAATCAATACCGAAAATCAAAGACCGTTCAATATCTAATTTTTTCATCAAATTAACGCGGATAAATGAACAATTCGTCTGAATTTTTTCTTTTCTTATAGAAAAATGAAAGGAGAAATCAGTACCGAAAATCGAATATCGATCAATACCGTAAATCAACGTCAGAAAATTGTCCACGTGCAATTACATTTCGTTCTTATTTTTTAGGTACTTACCCCTCTAATTTACTCAACAAATTAACTTGAATAAACGAATGATTCGTACCAATTTTTCTTCTCTTATAAAGAAGTGAAAGAATAAATCAGTACCGAGAATTGAAGACCGCTCAATATTTAATTGTATGTATACTTTATTGATTCCCCTGCGGGGTTACAAATTCCAATATAATCTCTCCTGCTTACTTCCTATTACGCTCGCCCCTATCCCCTCGCACGCACAGACACACTCCCATCCCCCGCCCCTCCTAACTACTTTACAAATATCTTACATCTACTCGCTCGCTTATCTCTTATAATTAATTGTTCGCTTATCGTCTATTTTTATATATATGTATATATTTATATTTCTATGCCGCTGTTACTCCTATAATTCTTATTTCCTACCGCTGATTTTCGCTTTCCTCCATTCATTCCATTCCTTCACACTTTCTCCCTCGCTCTCTCTCTCTCTCTCTCTCTCTCTCATCCTTTTAATCCTCCTCGTCCTCCCTCTAGCCCCCTCCACTCCACTACCTCTCTCATCCCCCTCTCCCTCCCCCCTCTCCTAGCAGCCTTTCTACCACCTATCCCCATCCCTCTCCCTCTCTCCCCACCCTCATGGTGCACGATCAATATTTAATTTATTCATCAAATTAACGCGGATAAATGAACGAAACGTATCAATTTTTTCTTTTCTTACAGTACAATGAAAGTACAATGAAAGAGTCAATTAGTATCGAAAATTGAATATTGATTAATACCATAAATCAGTGTCAGAAAATTGTTCAAGTGTAATGACAATTTGTTCTTATTTTTCAGGTACTTACCCCTCTAATTTATTCAACAAATTAACTCTATTAAACGAACGATCCGTATCAATTTTCTTCTCTTATAAAGAAATGAGAGAATAAATCAGTACTGAAAATCGAACACCGACCAATATCTAATTTTTTCATCAAATTAACGCGAATAAATGAACAATTCGTCTGAATTTTTTCTTTTCTTATAGAAAAATGAAAGGAGAAATCAGTACCGAAAATCGAATACCGATCAATATTGAATTTATTCATCAAATTAACGTGGATAAATAAACTATTTGTATCAATATTTTTTTCTTTTATAGAGAAATCAAAAACTAAATCAGTACCGAAAACCGAACATTGATCAATACTATAAATCAGCGTTAGAAAATTGTCTAAGTGCAATGACAAGTTGTTTTCATCTTGCAAGTACTTACCCCACTAATTTACTCAACAAATTAAGTCGGATAAAAGAAAGATTCGTATCAATTTTTATTCTCGTATAAAGAAATTAGAGAAATAGTCAGTACCGAAAATTGAAGACCGATCAATATTTAATTTATTCATCAAATTAACGCGGATAAATGAACGTTTCGTATGAATTCTTTTTCTTATAGAGAAATGAAAGAGTAATCAGTACCGAAAATCGAATATCGACCAATACCGTAAATCAGTGTCAGAAAATTGTTCAAGTGCAATGACAATTTGTTTTCATTTTTCAGGTACTTACCCCTCTAATCTTATTCAACAAATTAACTCAGATAAACGAACGATTCGTATCAATTTTTTTTGCCTTTTAAAAAAATGAAAAAATAAATCAGTACCGAAAACCGAATATCGATTAATACCATAAATCAGTGTCAGAAAATTGTCCAAGTGCAATGACAATTTGTTCTTGTCATTTTTCAGGTACTTACCCCTCTAATTTATGCAACAAATTAACTCGGTTAAACGAACGATCCGTATCAATTGTTCTTTTCTTATAAAGAAATGAGAAAATAAATCAGTACCGAAATTGGAGACCGATCAATATTTAATTTATTCATCAAAATAACGCGGATAAATGAACGATTCGTATGAATTTTTTTTTATAGAAAAATGAAAGAATAAATCAGTACCGAAAATCGAATATCGATTAATACCATAAATCAATGTCAAAGAAATTGCCCAAGTGCAATAACAAATTGCTTTCATCTTGCAGGTACTTATCTCACTAATTTACTCAACAAATTAAGTCGGATAAAAGAAAGATTCGTATTCAATTTTTATTCTGTTATAAAGAAATTAAAAAATCAGTCGGTACCGAAATTTGAAGACCGATCAATATTTAATTTATTCATCAAAATAACGCGGATAAATGTACGATTCGTATAAATCTTTTTTTTATAAAAAAATGAAAGAATAAATCAGTACCGAAAATCGAATATCGATTAATACCATAAATCAGTGTCAGAAAATTGTCCAAGTGCAATGACAATTTGTTCTCATTTTTCAGGTACTTACCCCTCTAATCTTATTCAACAAATTAACTCAGATAAACGAACGATTCGTATCAATTTTTATTCTCTTTAAAAAAAATGAGAAAATAAATCAGTTCCGGAAACCGAATATCGATTAATACCATAAATCAGTGTCAGAAAATTGTCCAAGTGCAATGACAATTTATTCTCATTTTTCAGGTACTTACCCCTCTAATTTACGCAACAAATTAACTCGGTTAAACGAACGATCCGTATCAATTGTTCTTTTCTTATAAAGAAATGAGAAAATAAATCAGTACCGAAATTGGAGACCGATCAATATTTAATTTATTCATCAAAATAACGCGGATAAATGAACGATTCGTATGAATTTTTTTTTATAGAAAAATGAAAGAATAAATCAGTACCGAAAATCGAATATCGATTAATACCATAAATCAATGTCAAAGAAATTGCCCAAGTGCAATAACTAATTGCTTTCATCTTGCAGGTACTTATCTCACTAATTTACTCCCCAAATTAAGTCGGATAAAAGAAAGATTCGTATTCAATTTTTATTCTGTTATAAAGAAATTAAAAAATCAGTCAGTACCGAAATTTGAAGACCGATCAATATTTAATTTATTCATCAAAATAACGCGGATAAATGTACGATTCGTATAAATCTTTTTTTTATAAAAAAATGAAAGAATAAATCAGTACCGAAAATCGAATATCGATTAATACCATAATAAATCAGTGTCAGAAAATTGTCCAAGTGCAATGACAATTTGTTCTCATTTTTCAGGTACTTACCCCTCTAATCTTATTCAACAAATTAACTCAGATAAACGAACGATTCGTATCAATTTTTATTCTCTTTAAAAAGAATGAGAAAATAAATCAGTTCCGGAAACCGAATATCGATTAATACCATAAATCAGTGTCAGAAAATTGTCCAAGTGCAATGACAATTTATTCTCATTTTTCAGGTACTTACCCTCTAATTTACTTAACAAATTAACTCGGTTAAACGAACGAACCGTATCAATTTTTCTTTTCTTATAAAGAAATGAGAAAATAAATCAGTACCGAAAACCGAAAGACTAATCAATACCATAAATCAATGTCAAGAAAATTGTCCAAGTGCAATGACAAATTGTTTTCATCTTGCAGGTACATATCTCACTAATTTACTCAACAAATTAAGTCGGATAAAAGAACGATTCGTATTCAATTTTTATTCTGTTATAAAGAAATTAAAGAATCAGTCAGTACCGAAAATTGAAGACCGATCAATATTTAATTTATTCATCAAATTAACGCGGATAAATGAACGATTCGTATGAATTTTTTTTCTTATTGAGGAATAAAAGAGTAAATCAGTACCGAAAATCGAATATCGATTAATACCATAAATCAGTGTCAAAAAATTGTCCAAGTGCAATGACAATTTATTCTCATTTTTCAGGTACTTACCCCTCTAATCTTATTCAACAAATTAACTCGGATAAACGAACGGTTCGTATCAATTTCTTTGTCTTGTAAAACAATGAGAAAATAAATTAGTACCGAAAATCAAAGACCGTTCAATATCTAATTTTTTCATCAAATTAACGCGGATAAATGAACAATTTGTATCAATCTTTTTTTCTTTTATAGAGAAATCAAAGACTAAATCAGTATCGAAAACCGGATATTGATTAATACTATAAATCAGCGTTAGAAAATTGTCTAAGTGCAATGACAAGTCGTTTTCATCTTGCAGGTACTTACCCCACTAATTTACTCAACAAATTAAGTCGGATAAAAGAACGATTCGTATCAATTTTTATTCTCTTATAAAGAAATTAGAGAATCAGTCGCTACCGAAAATTGAAGACCGATCAATATTTAATTTATTCATCAAATTAACGCGGATAAATGACCGATTCGTATGAATTTTTTTTCTTATAGAGAAATGAAAGAATAAATCAGTACCGAAAATCGAATATCGATCAATACCGTAAATCAGTGTCAGAAAATTGTCCAAGTTCAATGACAATTTGTTCTCATTTTTCAGGTATTTATCCCACTAATTTACTCAACAAATTAACTTGAATAAACGAATGATTCGTATCAATTTTTCTTGTCTTATAAAGAAATGAGAGAATAAATCAGTACCGAAAATTGAAGACCGATCAATATTTAATTTATTCATCAAATTAACGCGGATAAATGAACGAGTCGTATCAATTTTTTTTTCTTGTAGAGGAATGAAAGAGTAAATCAGTACCGAAAATCGAATATCGATCAATACCATAAATCAGTGTCAGAAAATTGTCCAAGTGCAATGACAATTCGTTCTCATTCCTGAGTCTTTCCCGAGTCGAAATATTAATTCTACATTGATCCTGCAAATTGCATCCAATTTGAAAAATCAATGTAGAATATCTAGGTGCGCAATAGTGAACAAGCTTTGTCCTACCTGAACGTCTTCATCTGGCTACTCTCGCAGTCTCGCCCATGATGAGTCTTCAACAGCGACGTATTCCGCAGTTATTTAATACTCGTTTACTTCGATAATGTATATGTACTTAATCCTTATATTCTTAATTTAAATGAGCAATTTTTGTTGATTTTGATTATATATTCGCTTAACAGCGCAAAAAAGAGAACAAAGATAAAAACGTAAATAGAACTGCCTTTGTTAGAACTGCGCGTGAGATAAATATATAAGGATTAAATAGTCATATAAGAATTAGAGGAAATGGGAAATGAAAAATACTTTTTATTCTCATCATTCTTAAAGTTCTTTTTTCCTTTCTTCTTCTCTTTTTTTCTTTTCTTTTTTCTAATGAGAATGATGAGAATTGTAGCTCTTAAAAGAGCTGAAGCTGCAAAAAGACAACGGTTATGTCTAATAATGCTGTTTCACTAATAGAGATTTTAATTCTGATTCGGTACAATAAGAAAGACAAACAAGAATGAGAAACGGACATTCTAGCAGATTTTAAACAAAAACAGCAATCTGAGCATTATTAGACGAATAAAAATCAACACTTGTAAAATTTATATCAGATTCTGAGATCATTATTCATAGTTTTTTAAATTATATGCAATTTTTCATTGAGAACATAATTACAAATTTGTACTCATAAACCTTAGCTTGCCTCAGCAATCTTGCTTGAATAGACATTCATATTTTACGAGAAAAGAAAAGTAGAACTCATGTTACGTGAAATTAGTTTAACGAATAATCAAATCTCAAGCTATTTTATCATTTTTCAGATGATAAACTATGAATGCTGATCTAATTTCGACTCGGGTATGTCCTTACTTCGAGTAAGGTCCGTTAAAATTAGAAAAATTCTGCGTAATAATAATTACTCGAGGTACCTCGAATACCATACATCATGTATCGCTGTCCTCGGCTATGTCTCTCGGCGCGCTCCGGAGTCCTCTCTCCATCCTGACTTCTCGATCCGACGTCCTCCTTCTGGTTGCTCCGTCGCAGCACCCCCGGATACTCCATGATAGCACTGGCGACGACACTGACTCTAGCTCTAACACTCGCGCAAGTAAGATTCGGGGACAAAGAAACGCGTATTAACCGACACTCGTACTATTCTGCGTCGCGGTATGCGCGTCGTTCGTCGGCTCGAGGCGCAATGTCCTTTCCGCAATCACGGAGTCATATATAAGCGTACGAAAACAAACAATCGGGAAGGCACGGTTACCCCCCACTTTGCCGATCAGTGTTGATGCCTGCGTCGTTGTTCGTTAGCTGAAAATGAAAACAACTCGTGTTTTCAAAGCATGCCTGAGAGAGAGTCGCTTCAAACTTCACAATAATTATTTACGTCTGTTCCAAGAATCATATTACGCTGAATTCAAACTGTCTCTATTTTGACATGACATATACGAGATCTGCGATCGCATCATTGATCTTTCTTTGGACAAGAAAATCCTGAGAGGAACGCTGTTCGAGAATATCACATTTTATGTTTCAGGTGCTTTGCAGATTATCGAATCCGCTGTAATAGATCAAGGAAAGTATGAATGCGTCGCTATGAATAACATGCGTGGGCACGGAGTACTCCAAGTCAATCACGTTATACGTGAAACGTACGTGTATTTAATATTATATAAAATTTACCTTTTTAAACAAAAAGGTAAAAAAAGGCGCCAAGTACAAGCGCAACACGTATTGTGTTATTTTTAGAAGTATCAAACTCAAATTATTTTTTTTATTGTATATATGTGTACATAAGTTTTTACAAGTAAAACTTATAACTATAATAAAACTCTGCAACACTTTTCTACTGTACAAAAGAAGTGATATATTAGAACAGTAGCGCCAACTGAGAAATTCCGACTTCTTATTCCCGGAAAATTCGTCAAACGTCAAACGAAGGGCAAAAAGTGTCGTCGCTCGCGAGCCGATCAACACAATCGGCGCGATGTAAACATTGCGGGCCTCGGCGGCGGTTGAAGCAAGAGAGACTTGCCCTTGGGCATTTTTTCTTTTCTCGAAGGTTCCGGGACAACGAGGGGAATGCGAGGAGGCCTTTCAACTGTACGCGACATTGATTTACTACTTATTGATTACTGAAAATAAAGAAAATTATTCTGTCGAAGCATCGGATATTTGTTAGCTTTATGTTAATGAAAGAGGAATGTATACGATTAGAAAATATGTTAGCAACTAATTGTACAGAATGTCAAAGTTGTTGTAACGCCGTTTTCGGAGAATAATTAAGGGTCATGGTAGCGTTAAAGAATGGAATTTCATCTCATGCGAATTTTGTCTCGTTCTTATTAAATGTTAGATTATCCGCTGCGGACAATAACTCTTCTACTTTTCATCTAATATTCAATGATAATAAATAACATTTAATTGCATTCGTTTGGCTTTTTTTTATTTCGAAAATAAAAAAATATATACCAGGGTGAGATTTCACCCATGACAATATCAAGGTGATTTTCTTTGATGCTTTTTTTAAAAGTTCAAATATTTCATCGACTCGCAGGATATTTATAATCAGAGTCTCGTCGCGTTAATTAACATGTGCTCCTCCGAGCGGATCGAATGCTCACCGACGGCCATTGTCAGTGCCACGAGCGAATGTCCGGAGCGGACGGGATGCTGAATTGAGAAGCAGGACGAAGGGAACGGGACGCGAGCAACGATACATCATGCGTCTCCAGACGTATCAAATCGTTTATTATACAGGAGACTTTGATACGGCAACATGTATGTAGAGGATTTAATATTTAATATGTACTTTTATTTTTCCTGCTCCCCCCCCGCTCTTTTTAGACCTTCGGGCATAGTCTGGCATAGAGATAGTAACTATGGTTGCAGCACGGACATAAACCGTCTGATAGGATGTATCACGGACTTCCACCACATGCAGATTTTACCATCAAGACCTAAAAGTGGATGTAGCATCGTAGTTCTCCTCTCAAAATGGATGCAGATGGCGCCCATTTCCAGTGCGAAAAATCGGTGTCGCCGAAAACGCCGTGTTGGCCGCTCTCAGCTTCCTCTCTGGTTTATATTGTTTTATTTTGTCAGGAACCTAAGGCCTGTTCGTTTTGTCTGCACTGCTGAATTAGTGCATTAAGTTAAAGTGAAACAAACGTAGATTTTCTCACTTCAACTTGTTGCACCAGTTCAGCAGTGCAGACAAAACGAACAGGCCTCTAGTATAAGATTATGAATTCCCCAACTACCCCCACCAACTTACGTTGTATCGAGAATCCGCGCGGGACATTCGATAATACTTTTATTTCAACGCACATTTTCAGAATGGATAGACGCGTGAGCTTGCTCTTTATTCTTTTTCTTTGTTCATTCGTTTACGCGCTAGATGTAAACCTGACTAGACAGAAGAGGGTTGTTGGTGGTGTTCCGGCTCTGCAACCTCCCGAGGACGATCCGGTGGTTTTTGTAAATAAAAACGGTCAACATGCGCGCATCATCGGCAGTCGCGACCCGAATAAAGGATTCTATACCTTTCGTGGAATTAGATTTGCAAAACCTCCAACGGGAGACAATAGATTCCAGGTAAAAACATTAATAATATAACAATTGTAGTCTACAAATACATGTAAACTATGTTTCTCGCGTACATTTAACATAATTACAAAAAGAACATTTAAAATTATTTTTACCTTTTTATATTGAATAAAATATACTATATTATGTCGTCAACGCGCACAATATATGTCAAATAATCGCAGTGCGTGAATGACAATGCTGTTAAAACGTTACATAAACTGGCGGATACGTCACAATGTATGCGGTCGGATGCATTAATAGTGTCTGCTTTACATTCACTCGATTGTATGAGCGAATGCTAAATCGTCTGCACGATTCAAATTATCTGCAAGAAAATTAATCACTTTATAGTCACGTAGAAACAAAGCCATTTTTCCTTTTTTTTAAAATCAATTATCCTAACTTTTATCATTCGGTGATTGTTTAGCATTCTTAATCTAGCGAGAAAATTCTTTTCATTTCTCCTTTTCTTGTGATAAAGTATGTTTATCTTTCTTTTTCGTTCAGTGATTAATAGAATTTAAAATTTAATTTCTGCATTCATCGAAAATAATAACGCCGGTTTCGTCTTTTGTTAACAGTAATCAACGGTAGTATGTTTGAAAAATTATCGAGCTGTCTTCAAGCTATCTTCCAGCAATAGAATGATTAAATTCAATGACTACAGTGAACTACTCGCCTCGTGTTAAATAGTCGTGAATAATAATAGGTGTATCCTATGTGAGACCACGGAACACTCCGCTATCGTATCTTTTACGCTACATCATTAAAATTATGAAATTGATACGTGTGGACGCGGAGCGTCCTCTTATCTCTCGGTGTATCCTGCCGCTGCCTAATTTAATAAATTTGATACACGTTATCAGTTCTGTCCGAAGAACACATTATAGCAAGGGACAAGTGGCGTAATTTACCATGTAACTTGACCTATATATTACTCAATTAATATTAATTTTATATATACAGTTGTACTTTTTTCAAATGCGGTCGAAAAAAAGACAAGATTTTTCTTTTTAATTTATTGACGCAATTAACGTAGATAGCATGTGCGCATTGTGAGAAAAGTTATTCCACAGCGAGCCTCACCCGTGCTTCTCGAAGGGGATTACAACGCTACAACCTGGGGACCACCCTGTCCTCAGCCGAGCCGCGATGGGACCGATCGAATCATAGGAAACGAAGACTGTCTCTTTCTGAACGTTTTCACGCCGTCGCTTCCGGATTCCAGTGATGGCTACCCTGTGTTGGTATGGATTCACGGCGGCGGTTTTCGACGAGGTTCAGCGTGCCAATACGAAATGAGAAACCTGATTAGCAAGAAAATGGTCGTTGTATCCGTACAGTATAGACTAGGATCGTTAGGTAAATGAAAGACGCATTGAGAAAACTCTAATAGAATAGAAGATAATATAGCTGAAAAATGCGGGATATATTAGCGTATTGGATTGGACATTAAATTGATTAAAATTTCGGCTGACTAAAGTGATCCGAATTAACCTCGAGCGATTTTCTTCAGGCTTCTTGAGCACAGGTACGAAGGAGTTGCCGGGAAACAACGGCATGTTCGACATGATACTGGCCGTCGACTGGGTGAAGGATTACATACACTTCTTCGGCGGTAACTCGAAAAAAATAGTGGCTTTTGGTCATGACACCGGTGCCAGTTCCGCCATGATGCTGTCACTATCGAAATTCTGCAAAAGTAATTGCAAATGCGTAATTCGTCGCGTCACAAATATGCGTCCGCTTCTCGGTAACAAATTGTAAATGCTTTCACAGATAGCTTCAGCGGTCTGATCGCCATGTCGGGTTCGATTTTATCTCACTTCGCGGTCGACAGAAATCCTGCCGACACAGCGAAAGATGTAGCGCGCCACAATGGCTGTCCGATAGATAACACTCGAGAAATGGTGAGCTGTCTTCGGGAAGTGCCAGCGGAAGAACTGATCAGGACCGATTCCAGATTGGAGAACGTTCGGATGGTGGCTCAGGGTTTTATCTCCGGACTGTCGAATCTGCTCGGAGCCGGTCCTGTCTTGGAAGGTGCTGATGACAACAGGTAACGTAAATTCGGCGGGAAGCATTGCGATTTCTCGATTAAACTTGCCGTTGCCATCTTTTCAAGGTCGCTCCCCAACTTTTTGGTCGAATCGCCGGAAGATACCTTGAAATTCAACAATTTTCCAAGTATACCTTTGCTGACCGGAGTTATGAAAGACGAAACCGGAGGCGCCATTTCCGGCGGCTATAAAAATGAAGTGCTAAATAAGTTGAACACGATTCCAAATTATTTGACCAACGATTTGGTACCGCATCTACAGGACACTATACCAAACATACAAAACGGATCGCGATTAGTTCCGCAAGCTTTCAGCGGCTATTTTAATATCCTTCAGGGCGACGGCGCCCGAGATACGATTGGAAAAGTGGCGGAAGCTGTTGGCGATTCGCTTTATAATGTGCCAGCATTTCTGACCGTTGATAATTGGTCGAAAAAGGCGAATGCTTTTTTGTACACTTTCGATCACAAGGGAAAAAAGAATTATGGGAAAGACTTCCTCGCTGGATTGCCGATTGTCGACGCTAAGCAATTGTCAGATGGTATGAATTTTAAAATAATTGATAAAACAAAATTACTAATTTTATTGTCTCTACGCGGCAACAGGATATCAATCTTCTCGCAGGTAACTTGAATCACGGTGACGATTTGGGATATGTCTTTGGTCCAAATACTATAACCGGTGAAAGTATGGGCAAGAACGACGAAGAACCAGATGAAGCGGACGAGCGCGTGACTGAGATTTTTACGGACATGATAGCAAATTTTGCGAGAAGCGGCACCGTTAACATACCTGCTGTATCTAGCAGAGGCGCCATGCTAGATGAAATACCGACATACTCGAGCGACACAAATTCTTTCGTCAGCATCACAACAGCTCCGCAGAGCATGAGGAATTTTCGGTAGCGTCACGGGAATCTTACATAGTAATTAACAATTGACGCATAAATTATAATAAATTACTCGCTCTACTAACATTAGATATTGCGAAATGGGCCTGTGGACTGTTGCGCCCGAACGACTGCAATCGTCCATGTGTAGTCTGTACAAAGTGCCTCTGCAATTACTACAACAAGGTGTCAAAGGAACAGCATCGATGATCGAGAAACCGCTCGGTACACTCGGCGGATTTGCTTCCGGTCTTCAGTCTGGTCTTAATTTCGCCGACAAATCGGAAAATCAAAATACCAAAGTGCCGCGCGAAGAGAATAAAACGCAGGAAGGATCACGTGACAGGCTTTTATCAAAAGCACCTATACCACAAATACCATTCTTTGGCTAAATAACTTTGCATGTGCTTCTAATATTATTTATCTTGTTAAGGATAAATTGGCGGTATAAAAATACCTCTGACACGACATTTTAGGTAACTGATTCATGGAACAGGAATATCACAGAATAGATTGAGCATATCTGCACCATCAGTGTCTGATTCTTCATCTTCTTCTTCTTGCTGAACATCATTTTCTGCTATCTTCTCCTTTATTTCTTCATCATTTGTTTAGACCAATGCTGCGATTTTTGAACCTGAAATAAGATTATATATGATATAATATATGTTCTATAAGATAGAAATTAACATGCAATAAACATAGAATTGTTTATTTCTTCATAATTATCTGACACTTACAGTTAATAGTATTTCGTTCTAGTACCATATCTTTCATTGAAGATAACATATTCATTTGCAACTTAGTCTCCATACCTGAGAATGAATTAGCATACATCACCTATATATGTGGAGCAACATTTGTAAGTAAATATTTTTACACTGCTGAAAGATTTAGTGCTATTAAATATTAGCTCATTTTCTAAAACTTGACTCGTCCATTGCAAAAATTCATTGCAAGTTCTTGTTTAAAGTAGTGTAATTCGATATCGACTTACTTTATAATACTCGAATCCACATGTTATTTGTTGTATTCTTTCAAGTAAATTTCAATACAAAATTTCTCTGCATCATGTGCAAACAAAAAAAAATAAAAGCTACCATTAATTTCAATCCTTCGATGTGTTTTCTTTCATTCTAACTTATTGCATTAGTTCAGAAGTTTTTCGAAAAGAACAGACCTACTGACAGTAGGCACATTGGAGCACTCACGTGTTGCTACCACACATGCGCATTGTGTATCCCAGAGTCACAGGCCGTTACAATACTAGTCACAACATAAGCCGGTTCCTTTTCTGCTCGATTAGGGTGTACTTTCTTTTTAAAAAATTCTTTTTATAAAAATCTAGTATATATTTGAGAGACTTGTTGGGAAAAGGAGGAGAGGAAAACTAACGCAAGGTAGCAGAGAGAAAGCACAAAAAGAAACACAGATTACAGGTTAGGTTAGGTTACTCTAAACAGATACAAATGGCTGCACCTCCGGGCTGATAAAACCGGGATGAAAATACTACTAGATTATCTACTAGAGATAGTTCGCAAAATATGAGAAACGACCGATAGATGGCATCGTATCAACCTACTTTGTAACGTACCGAAGATAAGTCGTCAGCCATACGGACGTTCGATTCGAACGACGAAGAGACGCGCTGTAAATCAACAAGTATGTGCACTTCTTATTTCCTTTCTTTCGAAAGTCTTTTTTCACACACATATATATATATATATACACATATATATAATATATATATATATATATATAACTGGACTCTCATCACAATTTGGAAGAAAGAGTACTGTTCGCGTGTAAGTTCAGCAAATTCTCGCATGTAGGTCACCCACTAAAAAACAGATGACGTCGCGCTGAAAATCGCCCACTCGCAAGTAATGCTTAAGCAACGCTGAAATGTTTGGAATTGAATGGAGATCAGCTCGTGCGGATGAATAGAATCGAGCGGCGTGCTAAGTCGTCACACTCGTAGCGAGTACAATCGCCTGCTATTACTCCGCGAGTTGACGCACATTTGAATCGACCATGTACACGTGAGGTTATTCAAGTATCGAAATATATACGGTAAGACATGTTATCGAATCAGTCGCTTGTCCGTCTGTCCGCGAGCCAAGTTGCTCGCGCTGTGTTTGGCAATGTTTCGTTGTGTCTTGCAGAAGCGTACAATGGCCATTATACGGCGACGCCGCTATTAATACCCTCCTGCCTAATTGTTTCTCGGAATTTCTTAATTGCACCTGCTGTGCGACACTACCTCGCGCCGGCACCTCGGACGAAAAAGATCAACGTTAGTCACGCGTTGTAAACACAAACGAAGAGAGTTGCGCTGCGCGCAAGTACTTGGCCCAGATGCATTTTCCTGGCAGAAGTCGACCACCGAAAGGTATCGTTCTTGATCTCTCTCTCTCTCTCTCTCTCTCTCTCTCTCTCTTCGCGGTTTTGATCGAGTGAATGTCGAGTTATTCGATCGAACGCCACTTGATCGCGAGTAAATTATTAGTGTTTACGTAACGCTTTTCTTCGATACGAGGTTCATCGCGATTATACAATACGTTCGACCAAGCGATATTTTTCTTCCTCTCGATTTACGCGAGTCAGATCGGGTCAAGTACTCCGATAACTTGGTCTTACTTGTGGCGCTATATAAAATATGCCGAGTGTTTTGCAACGAATCCTTCGAATATTCAATTCAACAAATCACGTAGGAGCGTGAGGCCATAATCGAATGCAAATGCAAACGAATCGAATGTAGCAACGGTTACAAAGTTACCGTTTGCAGACCGAAAGAATCTCCTCGAAGTCAGACATCAATTCACTGAGAGAGAAGAGCAGAAATTTTTCTCAGGCACGAATTGATCAAGAATCTCTGAAATTGTTTTTTCCTTCATTTATCCTCTTCCGTCTATTTTTATTAACGTCGATTCTATTCACTTTTTTTTTACCATGTTCCGGTTAAAACAATCGACTTAGCAATCTCGCAGAATTTCAACTGAGACTGCTGGAAGGAAAAGTGGAGAATGATCAAATCATTACCAAATCGGTTAGATTAACTGGAGCTTGGTAAAAAATGGCCTTCAAAGACCTGAATTCAAATTGAGCTTTTCAATCGAAAACTTCAGTAGAAACGGGCGATTTCACGCAGTAACGAGAAAGGGGGGCCCAAGGAGGCCGGTGCATGCAGGTGCGACACCTAGGTCCTCTCTCTCCTCTGCGCTACAGCGGGAGGCCCTTCTCCTCTCCCTTTGCCAACCGTCCCACGCCCAACCCCTACCTTGATCGCGCGATACTTCCCCCCCCCGCACCTCGTTCGATGCAGGGTCTCTCTATTTCCCGTCTCAAGTCGCTTCTCTCAGTTCCCCTCAGTTCCCCTACCAACCGGCGATCAGTTGAGTTGCGGTGAGCGTCGCTCGGGAGATCGGTTCGCGTCCCGTCTTGTCTTTCACGTTCGCCACGGAGTCGCGTCGATTCGACTGCAACTTCAGGCCGATCGTACAAGTGCGCGTCTCGGTGGATCGGCTGACGAAACCGCGCTCGATCTTTCAGCTGTGGCAAACGCTCGAGAGATCAAGGGGAGGACGACGGTCCAAGGGTGCGAGCTACGAGCGACGGCAGCGGCGGGAGCAGGTCGCGTCGGCCGGAATCGGAGGAACGCGGATCTGCAGCTTGAATTCGACGGATCCTTCGGATCGACTCGGACTCGAGCCCAGCCGAGATTCCATCCTGCCGCGGCCGCGAACCACAGCGCGGAATGCGGCGCGGCCACCCGATGGACGATGGCCGTTAAATCGGTGAGTATATACATGTACACGTATCCTGCGGTAGTGCATATTCGCGCGCATATGTTGTATGTATGTGTGTGTATGTGTGTGTGTGTGTGTGTGTACGCGCACGCGACAGCAACCACTGCCATATTGAGGATAGGAGAATTTTCGGCCGCGAACCGGTCGCGACGGCGCGCTGCGTACGAAAATTCTGTCGCAACGCGCGTCCGTGTGTCAGGTATATCGGCTTTTCTTCTCTCGTGGGTCTCTCGTGCGAGACAACGCGAGTGGCGACCACCTTCCTCTGACAGGTGGAATGCGGCTGACGGCTGCCCGCCGCACGATAGGGGCATCGCATAGACGCGGGCGATCGCAGCGCGACGCGAGCGACACGTTTTGGAATGCGAGTGCACGCGCCAAGTGAGTGTCGCCGGAGATCGACCGGTGAAATTCGCGTGAATTTCGGGCAAGGATGGGAAATATTTTGTGCGGGATTAGGCGTTTTGAGGCTTTCCCTATTTCCTCTCTTCGAAGCTTCAAACGCGACAAAGAAATTTCGCAGGGGATGAACGCTTGGGGATGAATATTTGGGTATTCGAGAACGCCAAAAGCGCGTACAAACGAATAAGCACGCAATTTGTTCCACCGAGAGTATCGATATCTCGAATCTTGGAATGGAGCTCGAAGCCTCGAGAGGTTGAATTGCTCCAACTTCAACTTCAAACGTTGAATTATTAACCGACGTTTCTAATTATCAACTAATGTCACTTTTAATTATATTTATATATATGTTTCATGTGTGGTGCGAATGCCAGAGATAATGTTTAACTTTATTATATACATTATTAATTTATATACATTATTATATACATTATTAATATATATATTTATTTAATATTATATATACATACCGTATATACGGTGATTTTCTATTTTATGTGCACATTTTGTGCATTTGCATGTAGAAAGGAGCAATTTCTTCCTCATCTCTCTCTCTCTCTCTCTCTCTCTCTCTCTCTCTGTAGGAGTTTGAGATCTTAATTCTCCGAAACTTGTTTTTAATTTGTGCCTTTTTTGATCGTTGAAATGTTAATTGACCCTGATGATCAATATAGGTACAACACACTGACATCTCCTTATAAGATGCAAACAAAGCCTGATTGCATCATTTAAACAAAAGATAAAACGTCAAATGATTTGTTGTAAGATGTCGTGTCGATAACAAACGTTTCATTTTATTAAAAACGCCGGTATCGCGTATAAAATAAACCTGACCTACGGTGTGTGTGTGTGTGTGTATGTGATGTCGCGAGCGATTAGCCGAGAAAAATAGTAAAGGCCTTTACACGTACAAAAATTTTCGTCGTAACCGTAAGGTCGTAAGAGAGCTGACCAATCGCGGTCGGCTATTCCTTCAGCGCAAGGGAAACAATCGACTGCGATTGGTCAGTTTTCTCATAACCTTACGACTAAAATTTGTGTGCGCATAAAGGCCTTAACGACATGTTTTTATCGTCGCTGTTTTTCCTTTCCTGTTTCATCTAAATATCAAATTGGTTCGCATCACGTAGTTAATCAACTATGAGTTCAATCGTTCGTTTTTTGTCAAGTTTGAATTCCATTAGACTCGAAGGTTGAAAGATTAAGTTTGCGTTCTTGCTGGCGTGTTCGGCTGATCCCGACTGATCACCTGAGAGACCTTCCGCTCGGGCTGATTAGAATGCCTCTCGTGCACGCATTTGAGTTGGAATTTTTCTCAACGAGGGAGAATTCAACGAGACTGACACTTGATTGTCCGCATTGTCCGCGCGATCCTCTCGCCCTCGGATCGGCGTCGTTGTGTGCTCGCTTGTCATCAACTTCTTCATCCTGCCGATCAATAACACCTGTGAGCTCCGAGAGAGACGAGCACGGGTGAATTTGACTTTCACTCGGAGTGCACTGCTTTCACCTACGCGTGCTCGGTCGTCGGAAGTATTCGTCGAAACGAGAACTCCGTTTGCGAGATGCTCGCGCGAGCATTTTCCCCGAGAGCTCACCCGCTCTTTTATAAATTCTCGTGAGAGAGAACAACCCGACTAGAAATGTATCCCATGGTCCTGATCAGGTTAACCTCACTTGGACATCAGGTCCCAATAAGGTAATACTATCGGGTCCTAGTAAGTCATGTAACGCAGCGTGGATATCAGGATCTTAGTAAAGATTCATAGTCAGGTGGTCCTTATTGAGTTACCTTATGGAATCCTTATTATGTTTTTTTTTTTTTTCAAATTATAGCTCCTGATTACTCGCCACGGCTAAGAAATGACACGCTGAAAATTCTTTCATGTCATTTCCAAATAGAAAGATATTTGCATGAAATAATATTTTAGATCGCTTGAGCATACTTGTAAAATGTCTCGGAAAAGAAACATAAAATGAATATCATAAGATCATAAAGTATCACAAGGTGACAAGACATAGAGTAGTGTTAAAGAAAAAAGTTGCATGTCACGTTAATTTTATAATTATTTATTGACTGCTAAAAAAAGGATAGTTTCTATAACATTTTACAAATATATTCAAGTGATCTGAAGTGTTTTTTCAATGCAAACATCTTTATATTTGGAAGTGACACCCAAAAATTGTTTTGTTAAAACTTGATAATGCAAATCATATTAGGTACAATGAATAAGATCCCGACAAGGACTCGATTAACTGAACCATATTATATCATACACTAGGTTGGTACATTAAGGTCCTAACGTGGATCCAATCATTATAACCTTATAAAGGTCTTCTTTACTTTTTGTTTGTCGTTAGGACATTATAAGGACTGACTTACTTAGGATTACCTTTCATTCACCCTATTAGGCCCTTATCAATGTTAGGTGAACCTGATCAAACTTTCTAATCGGGAATCTGAATCGAAGTTCGCGCTGAAGATGAACCCGGTGAATCCCAGTGAACGGGAAGGGCAGCGGTGAGCCTCGAGATTGTAACATCGCGGTGTGTTCGACCATCGGTTGATCGGTCCGGAACGTAATCGCTCGGTCACGGAAGGATATACGAGAGAATTCCGAAACCTAATGGGCCGAAGGGGCCACGTCATCTTCCGTTAATCGCCGGCCATTGTCGGGCGCTCACAAAACATCGCCGACCTTTAAGACGGTTAAACTTTGGTTCGACGTGTACTTGTTCAAGTGTTAGATTAAGCTTCGAGGCGATGAGTAATACATTCGTGTCGCGGAGCAGGTGTATCGGCGCGTCGTTAGTTATCATTTCCGCTGGATGATTCACATTTTCGGTCGGGGGGAGAGGGCAGGGCCGGGGGCTCTCGAAATATTTATCTGCGATATTATATTTAATCGGATTCTCGCATTGGCGTGTTTTTCGATTCTATGTTAATATCATGATTATCAATGTCGCGAATGAATATATTCTAATTATACGCCGACGCAATGTTACGACGCCAACAGTCGCGAGCGAGAGGAAGCTGGCTCGGGACGAAGCCGGGACGAAAAGTAGAACATCGCCGTAACATTCTTGTTAGCCTTCCGAAGGCCGCGCTTGAGGTCTGAAAAATCTGTCGCGTCAAAAATAAATCGCGTAGAGGCTGACAAATGTACGACTCGCATGACTGGGGGCATTAACAGCTATTAATATTAAAATTAAATAATAATCTGCTATCGCACGCACACGTACACACGCGCGGTGAAAAGGACTTAGTATCGACATCAACATCTCATCCGGTGCTCAACACGCATCGTTGTTTTTTCCCGGTATCTCGCGTCTCGGAATTTCGCGAATAAATTTAAATAAAAAATGGATCGATCGATAACCCCGCGGGTACAAACGTTAAACATCGAGTGTCGAGTTTGCGAAGCGTGGCTCTCGTGCGTTAATTTAATAATATCGACACAGACAGGATTTCTGGACGCTCGAACACGGCGGAGACGATAGATCGAATCCGCCGATCGTATGTCGTGAAACGAGTTGGACGTTATCTCCCTTCCTCTCTCTCTCTCTCTCTCTTTCTCTTTCTCTCTCTCTCTCTCTCTCTCTCTCACACACACACACACACACAGACACAGACGCGGCTCGCCCTGATATATATTACTTATACGGTGGCTGATGAATCTTTCATCGTAACTGCCGTTGCTCGCGATCGTTAGTAGCTGGATAAGACTGCCGAAGAGCGGCGTCGCCGCGTAATCGGTCACATTGGCGATCGATTTGAAATTGAAATTCGTCCGGAGGGAAATGCACGCTTATATACCGGCGAGATTACCGACACCGAGACCGACGACGCCGCCGCTCCTCCGCGTGAACGCTGTAACCCGCGAGCGATGCAATCACGCCGCCTCGGCGGATCCGCGCTTTTTCGCGAAAGCGAGATAACGCGGTTCGCACGTTCGTTCGAACGCACCGGCGCACTCGTTTTCCATGTAAAATAGGGGCGATATACTTATTGAAAATAAAGACCGCTTCTAACGCCCGATCGAAACCGGCAATTTGTATGCTAGCTCTCTCGGGGCGGCACGGCGGCGCCGCGGCGCCGCGCGAGGGAAAGTCGTGTGAAAATCTCTCTCGGGAAAATAAAACGGCAGTGTCGTTATAAATCTGTTTCTGCAGAAATTGCAGATTCGGTTCGCGGAACTGGCGAAGTTCCGCGTCCTCCGAGCAAAACGCGTTCGTCGTCAATCGCTGCTTCGACCCACCCTTTTCCACCATTTGCAAAGCCGAAGCATGAAATGGAATGGTTTTGAGGAATTCCCGTGCGAATTAATGAGACTTAAAGCAATTCACGAGAGGCGTTCTCGATCTTAAGCCTTACGGCTTGTTAATTATGACTGATATGTTATTTACATCTTCCTCTGATCCTCGCATCTCCAGAGAGTTTCGCGACAGTAGATTTCGCAATTTGTCGTGACTGTGTGTGTGTGTGTGTGTGTGTGTGTCGTGAAAGATTCAAAGTCGTTATCGTCCGATAGAAATAATCTCCACCTGATTCCGCGGTGTCTATTTATAACGACGATAATCCATTT